ATTCTTTTTTCTTAATATATGGGCAGTGGCACTTAACCTTAAAAAAAACATCAGTGTAAGGTATACCGGGCAAATATATACCGGGCAATGGCACTTGACCTTAAAAAAAACATCAGTGTAAGGTATACCGGGCAAATGTATACCGGCTAATAGCGCTTAACTAGACCTAGTATATATTTCGGACATTTACCAAAGATCCAGTCATACTAGTTCTAGTTAAGTGCCATTGCCCGGTATACATTTGCCCGGTATACCCTACACTGATGTTTCTTCTAATCTATCGTCAGTAAGTATTAAAATATCGAATAAATGTAAAACTACCGATTTCGGTCATTCACAGTATAATATGCATTTCTCAAAAATAAAAATGTTATTGTGAAAAAATACTGAGAGTGCCATTGAAAAACATTTATTCAGAATGTGAAAAGAAAATTAAAAAGTTATGCGAACCAAGATTTAAGCCTTTCTTATTAGGGAAACAAAATTTTCATATAAAAAATATGAAATTAACCTACTTGTTGCAACATGGCAGGCTTGAATGACATTTTGAATTACATTTCAATAAATTTTTCCACGTAAATTTCATGAAATTCCTCCATTTCCATGTAGCACAGTAAAAAAATAATTCTTGTTATTAGTTAAAAGTCACGAGCCTTACCAAGTACGAATCGGAGATGTATTTTATACTTTGCCAGTTTCTCATTTGGCAATCTATAGAATGCTTAGGAAATGTGTGAAATATAAATCATTTCATACTTTGCCGGCTAATTTCAGGCATTCTATACAATGCCTAGTCATTCTATACAATGCCGGATTTCATACTTTGCTGGTAACATATATTATTTAATACATATGAAATTTAAATTTTTTTTTTTTTTATGAATGTAAAATGATTGTTTAGTTGTTGATTTATAAGTTTATAATGATTTGAAAGAAAAAGTGCGAAATATATGCTCCCGTGTCACCGCTGGGAATTGAATCCCCTCCTGCCGCTAGGTTTTCAGACTCGAATTTAATTAACTTTACATTTCCTTCATTGTCTGAAAAATTAAATCTTTATAGTGTATTTTCAGAAAACGCATATTGTTTGTAGAATACATCATACAACAATCAGATCGAATTCCTTTTATTTTTATCAGAATACATTTTAAGTATAGAAATAAAGGAGTGCGATTCTCTGATTGCCATGATAAGAATTGGAAAATTCTGCGGAAACTAGGACTACATTAACTACTAACGCCACGAGAGAAGAGTAGTAATGGCGCATCGCTTTTCAGAACTATTTTGGCGTGAGTGGTTTATCATGTAGAGGAAATAAGATGTGTTGCTATTTGGCAGAAGTTAGAGTCAATAGATTAGAGGCACACACAAGCACATAGCACAAAATTTTGGTTAGCCCATATTAAAAAATTAAGAAATGGCGAAAGGGTCTTTTAATTACATTTTAAATACTTCACAGGAGGCCTAATTATAGCAGACTCAGTAGAATGTGCTACTATTGGACGGTATATGTGGATATTAAGCAATGTACGACTTACTGTTCACGAAGATGCATCCTTACTAACGCTTGGCCAGAGAGGCCCGTAGCATCATTTTGCTTGGATGCGTGATTTGCATTTGGATGTTTTTATTTAAAAATATATCATCGTGTGAAAATGGCCTTGAGAAACCGTGAAGCCAGATGCAATAGAGATCTCTAAACTGAAGTCACTTTCTTACCTGCCCCAATCATCAATCAGTTACAGATGTAACCATAACCATTAGAAATACGAACCCCCCCCCAATAGCATAATGATTGCATAGTAGCGAACATTGGTAGCAGAGACAATTGCTTTTTATATAGCAATCAGGATAGTGCAGAACCGTTTACGCTCAAGAGACAGACATGCCTTCCAATGAAGTGGCAATCCCAACAATGGTTGGTCGATACGAATTCTGCACTCGACTCGCACCGAACACAGTGACGTAAAATATCCTCAGTGGTGGACAGATCATGGGTTAGAGTCGTTTTGTTGTCAGGTTCACCAGTGGCCCCCATCCCCCCAAGCTCTTGGGCTCATTCTTGGGCAAATTCTAAATTCCCCCCAAACTATTCGTTTTATTTAGTGTAAAAATCCCCACCCAAGCTTTAAGTGGGCGCATCGTGCGCCCACCTTCCCCCCTGGTGGGGGCCCCTGAGGTTCACCATATGAGGTCTTCGTGATTTCCTCTAAAAACGTAAATGTGGATCAATTCCATCAAAAAGTCCTCCACGAAGGCAAATTTCGTTCAATATTTGATTCAAGAGTACTTTTGTCTTCTAGATTGGGTTTAAAATTACAAATTGAACATTGGTAGTCGGAAACTCAAAATCGGGTCTGCTGTTCAACGGTTATAAAATTAAATAGGTAGGTACTTCATTTACTTCGCACTAGAGCTGCACAATGGGCTATTAGCAACGGTCTGGGAAATATCCCTGAGGATGATCCGAAGACATGCCATCTCAATTTTGATCCTCTGCAGAGGGGATGGCTCACCTGCTTTAGTTGGCCGACAACATGCGCGTGAAGTCAAGCACTTAAACGGTAGAACAGCTTGGTGAGGGCCGATACCGTTCTCCCTTGGTCCCTACGCAGACTGATCAAAGTGGTCACCCACCCGCTAACTGATAGCATCCAGTGATGATTGACTTTCGGTGTTCAACTGGGAGCCGTGTCCTTACGATCAGTCCACTGCGGGACTAAAATAAAATTTAATGGGATTGTGTTGCTGCTGCTGTTAATTTACGTCGCACTGGAGCTGCACAATGGGCTATTGGCGACGGTCTGGGAAACATCCCGGAGGATGATCCGAAGACATGCCATCACAATTTTGATCCTCTGCGGAGGGGATGGCATCCCCGCTTCGGTAGCCCGACGACCTGCGCGCGAAGTCGAACACTTTACGGTAGCACAGTTTAACGAGGACCAATACCGCACACCCTTGGTCCGTACGCAGACTGATCTAAGTGGTTACCCACCCGCACACTGACCGCAGCCAGTGATGCTTGACTTTGGTGATCTGTTGGGAACCGTGTCTTAACGATCAGTCCACTGCGGGACTAATGGGATTGTGCAAACGTAAATAGATTGAATGACAGTCGAACACTGATGGAGTTCAGCTTATGACTTGTCATCTCTATTCATGCAATTGCGATCTCCAAGTGGCAAGTTTTTCGAAGGAACTCTATGGATGGTGTTTTCAGTAGAAATGTAAACAATAACAATCTCGAGCGCGGCACCTACTCTAGTTCCGATTAAAAAGTTTGCAGCTGCTTACTACGTGTTATTCTGATAGGCGATGTTTTCAGACGGATAATTTTGTTTTCAATAAAAGAAATTAGATAATTTCAGAGCTCAAATCTGCCGTATTTCATAAGATATTAATGCTATTATGTAATTCTGGGGAGTTTGGAGTGAAAATTTGTTTTAGTTATTTTGTTATTTATTATTAAAAAAGGTGACATGGTTGCTAGATTTTGAATAACTCGCTNTATATATATATATACATGTGTGTGTGAAACAATAGAGAATAAAAATATCTTAAAAAGGGCGCCGATAGGAGGATTGCCATAGGCGCCATTTTCTCTAGATACGCCTCTGATAAGTAATAAGTAATCAAATACATAGTTTGCAAGAATTTCAAAACACAATGAAGCCAAATGGCTTGAAAATACAACGGAAACAGTAACCCGGAAATTTAGGCAGTCCCGAGCTTGCAGCGTGCCCTAGTGTAGAAAACACCATCCATATCATGAAATATTGAAACTAGTTCCAACCTATCTTCGCTAAACAGAGGGGTTTTTCTTCTCTCTCTCTCTCGAGGACGATGAGAGGTGCGTAAATCGTATGCAGTGAGAATGGGTTGGCAGGTTTAAGTTTGTTGTGCTCATCATGCAGAAACAGAACGCAGGAAACGTACTAAGTAAATAAACTAAGCAAATCAAAATAGAAAGTGATGTTGTTTACTCTTTGGACATGGTTATAAAATTCTTAATATGATGCTAAATTACTGTCTCTTGTCAAGAAGTCAATTTTAATGAACTGAAAACTGATTTTTTTTATGAATTAAAAAAAAAACAAAATTATGTTATTTTCAATGTAATTTTTTTTACAAATTGTTTATTCTTAACTGTGAAATCGAAGAATTGCTTATAAAATATCAGCTTCAGTGAAAGTTAATTGTATTGAATTTATGTAAATTCCTTTGGTTAGCACTTTAATATTTTGTTAACATTTTGTTCTGATAGATATAGAATTTATTTCAAAGACTTAAACTTTGAAAACACCGTTTGAATTTGAACGCAAAGCTTTTTGTTAACGTATAAAAAAGAAAGTGATCAATTTTTTTTCGATCATATTGAGTTTTACAAATTGTTCTTACCTTTATTTTTCGGGATCTAGATTTCAAAATTCAATCAAGAATGGCATTACGTCTACTAGTTGCACTGTGAAATGTGACTGAACTATTTGGTGTAAAGGAAATTTGGTTTATGACAAGGTAATGAAAAAGCATTTATGATTTCAGGTATTATTGTATAATATCAGGAACTTTGTTATAATTCTAAAACTTTAAACAGATCATTGCCCAAACTTTTCAAAGTAGCATCACCTTTACAAAATTTGAAATTGTCTCATGGCACTCCAGTCTTATATTATTTATTTGGAATATCATATTTATTCTATACATCTAATGTAATAATTATAAAACAAATATTATGGAAGTAAGTAATTTCAAATTGGGGAAGAAAGTTTAATAAAACTACTGGCATTTATTTCTTTTTCAGTTTTCATTTCTAAATTCTTAGAACAGCTAGCTTTGCTCAGTAGTAAAGTAGTTTTCATTGTTTTGACTTTTTGTTCATAGTAATTATATCTTATTTGTATCCAAAACTCTAATAGTATCATATTTTCTTATGAGCACCCAGGCAGCTTATACTGCCACAAGGATTCAAGGTAAGCTCTTCTGAATCTCTCAATAACCCCTGTTTTGGACACCCTAACTTTGTTTAACTTAGTTTGCTATGGGATCAAGTGTGGAAATGTAACAATGACTTAAGTAACTGAACAATTTCTATTAAATTGTTTATGTGGAAAGTAGATTGTTAATTGTTTTGAAGCAAATGAATTCTTTTTTATTATCAAGTGTATTTTTCCATTTTAGTTGTTTTTAGGATTATTCATTTATTATATTTGGTTGCCTTTTTTTTGTTTATTAATAGCTCAAAAATCTGCCAGTTCATAAAATTGTCTTTTTTTTTTTTTTTTTTAATACTTATTTTATATTTCTACAAGATTATAAGAATTTATTTTAAACATCCAATTTTCCATTACAGTTGCAAAAAAAAAAAAAAAATTTAGAAATGCTGACACTTTAAAACATTCACTGAGAAAGGGTATCAATAACCAAACCATCCACAATGGATGGAAATTCTCATTTTGCAAAGTGTGCTTAATCAGGATGTTACACTACTGCATGGCATGAGTAAGGTTTTCCAAGTTTTTTTCCCATTTTGACCCATTAGTATTCAAGTGGTACATTTACATTACTGTAATGTAATGTACTACATTATTGTAATGGCACATAGTATATTTAGGATTTTTTCTATTCACTAAAATTTCTGAATACCAATAAATAATACCATAAACGTAGTGTTTTTCCCCATGACATTGAAAAAAAACTACTTATTTTGAATCAAATTTGAGTATAATTAAGAATTCACAATAAATCAAATATTTGATATATACAGTTAAATTTATAAAATTTAAGGGAATTGCCTACTTTAAAATAGTGTATGTGAGCTTTTCTATGAATGAGAAACTGAGTCGAAATAATAACAAGATTATGAAACAGGATCTTCACTTATGTTTATGGGATAATATTTAAATAGATTTGATATTGTAGGAAGTTTTAGCATTGAGGTATTTATTTAAGTTTGTACTTTACCATTTATTAGATTTTTCTACATTTTATAAATTCTAAAAGGTTGTTAGCCATAAATTAAACTAAGGAAATTAATATCACAATATTAGGAAAAGTGTAAGAGTTACCATGTTTTGAGTGTTATCTCTTGTTTTTTTATGTCTTTAGCTCTAGTTGAATCGATTTACCAATTTTATTGTATATAACACAAGTCATATTGTAAACAATACAAGTACAATAATAGTATAGGATGACATGTCTTTTAAGCTTAGGCATAAAAATAAATCGGAAATAGTAACCCAGAAAGCTTATTACAAATTTTAAATACTAGCGTTGCTAATGCATAGCTTTTTTTCAGTTCTCCATCTATATTGGTATGAAGAAAAGTTCACTAAGTAGTAATAGGTTATTGTTAATTATGTTCTGTATTTTTTAGTGCACTAGTTTTACTTTTATTTAATTATATACTATAACTAATGGAAATCTCATTTGGAATTTTAGGTTTTGGAAACTATGTGAAAAACTCCATAATTATAAAAAATTGTAGTGTTTCTCTTACTCTTTTAATCAACAAGGGCTAAGATTCTAAAAGTATCCTTGCTATAGAGGTAGGACTTGCTCTGTATATGCAATAGGTTTTATTTCTCAATATGTAAAGTTTGAAATAAAAACACTTTGTTACAAATAATGAATGTAGGCTGTATTATTAATATTCTTATATATGCTAACATATCAGTACTATATTTAAGCCAATTTGTGTTTTTGCAAGATTAATTTGAGTTGTTTTTGTGATTTATTTATAAACTAGTATATGATTGTTAGAACTTGTACAAATCATTTCATTGATTCATATTAATACTAATTAATATTTTATAAGTTCTTTCTAAAATTCTTTTCAAAAATATGTGTTATAGACAGATTATAAAGTTTAAATTTTCTTTATATTTGCAGTAATAATTTTTTATATTTTTTATGGTTTGGCTTGAAATTTATAAGATTTTTGTAATGTGTTATGAAGGGGGGGAATTAGAATTTAAGAAATGGTTAAAGTTGAGTTTGGAACTTCAGCCTTTGTTGTATTTAGTTGCAGTTTGCTATTGATAAGAAAGCATATAGATAAAAAAAGAAAGAAGAAAAAAAAATATGGTAGACATTTTTGTAAGAGCATTCATTGAAGACAGAATTATTTGGGAAACATTTTAAAATGCTTTCTTTCCATTATAATTTTTTTTAAAAATATAATTGAATTCCTTATCTTTTTTACACTTTACCTTTTTTTCAGTCTAAAATTTTTGATGAAATCAATTAAATTGTTTTTAACTTTCAAATTCATTTTAATAATAGCTATTTCTTTTGACTTGGTTATATCTTAGTTTGTATGTACTTTTTTGCTTATGCATTATTACAGATTTTTGAAATAGTTTCTAATATAACATACATCTTATTAACTTTTTATGTTTTATAATTTTATAAATAAATGTTTTTTTAAAAATAATTTTCAATAAAATTTACGTAAACTTCTATATTTTTTTACTATTGAATACACAATTACTTTAAATTATATTAAATTAACTTTTAAATTTGCTTCACCCTTTAACTCTCAACCCTAAACTCAATTTGGAATCTGTTTTCTTTCCCATTAAGAAAACCAATTTTCCCAACACATTATTCAATGGAGCTATTTTGTAAGGTAACAACACCCTGTTAAAGGCTTAATGTAAGTGTCGTAGTTTTCTGAATTAATGTGGAAAAGTTATTGTTAATTTTAAGGTTTGAATTATTACTAATTTTTTTTATAATTTTCTTTTAGCTTTCCCAAAATCATTGAAAAGGATGAAGATACCATTTATTGCCATTAGTATATCTATGTTTATTTGCATGACAATTTTTGGCGTCATTGGTTATGCTTATGTCTTATGGAGTCAATACTGGAGAACTGCTTTAGAAAAGAAACAAATGATTTTGCACAGTGCTCGTTATATTCAGCAAACTGCTTTGCATCAAACACATGGTTCTAAAATAGAATTTTCGCAGTTGAGAGGGAATGCTTCTAATGAGGCTATGATGGATATATTAAGCAGTAAAATCCATACTTATAAAAATCAGCTGTTAGTTCAATTACGTAAAGCTCAATTAGCTGCTGGAAATGTATTATTTCATAAAGACAAGCATGAACATAATTTCTATAAAGTAAAATTTAAAAGGAAAAATGGAAGATATTCTAAAAAAAGTCAACACGAATTAATTTGTGATTTAAAAGAAAAAGTGACCATGAGAATGTTGGATAAAAATATTGAACCATTCAAAAAGTTAGGTTATGATAAATATTTTCCTTTGAAATCACTTTATGAAACTTTTCAAAAGCATAATACTTGTGCCATTGTATCAAGTGCTGGATCAATGTACAAATCGAAGTTAGGAAAAGAAATAGGTCTGTAACAATCGTTGAAAATTTATATAATTTTGTTCATTCAGTTCAACATAGGCTTGGTTTATTTAACTTTTTTTTGGGTATTTATGAGAAAATATGTAATTATTTTTTAAAGTGTCTTAAACAACATTTGCTTTACATAATGAATTGTAAAGTGATCAATAAATTTTCACATAACATATGAAAAATTCAAAGCTATGCATCTATTTTAAAACTATAGAGGAAGATTTGTTTCATTAAAAATTTCTGAGTCTGACATTTGATATTATTATTTGATTTTGTATTTTTTATGTAAAATAATTTTTAAATATATATTCATTTGCAAAATACAATTTTACATCAAATTTTTTTTTTTAAATTTAATTTTAATTCTACCTAAAATTTATTTTAAGTGTAATAAGTTTTAAAATTTTTTTTAATGAATAAACAAAACTCTTGATTTCCTTACAAGCTGTATGTACTGTCTTAAATATGCCCTTAATAATAAAATAATAGTAAGCCTTCACTAATCTTCACATGCTTGTTTTGAAATATTATTGATACTGAATGTATAATTTAGTGATTGGTATTATTTATTCAATATTTTCTATGATTCAAAAATTTGCACAAAAGCATTTTTATTGTTAATAAAAAAAAGGACCTAAAAATAGACTTGGTATCAACCTCTGTTTATGTTTAGTAGCTAGCTAAAATGTCTATCAATAAGAAAAACGAAAGAGGAGATGAGGCAAATTGAATCATTTCAATTATTTAAAAAGAGACTTAGCTTGTGACTATTTCCATATAAACAGGGTGTGCAGCTATGCTAATGTGATAATTGAAGTTATTTCTGAAATGTTTGATCATTATCACTTTTCACAATATCTTAATAATTTTTAAATGAAAAATTTTCTTCTAAAATTGCAAAGAGAAGAAATTGCTTCTTTGATATGTATATTTATTTTTGTGAATAATTCTAGAAATGTTTTGAATTTTATGTATATTGAAAGTTGAAAAAAAAATTAAAAGTTATTTGGAGCAGACTGCATGCTTTTTTCAGTGCAAATTTTAATGTAAGTAAAATTTTCTTTTTACTTTTATTTAATATGAGAACCTCTAACAAAAAAAAAATGTAAATGCATATTCCTCATGTTTATAACTTAATGTTATAAAATGTAGAACAGTGTTTGGTAACAGCAGGCTTTCTAATTTTTTTTAAAAAGAACTATTTTTATAATTTTTTCTTTTAACATTATTTTAGTTTTGCATGAATGTTGTTAAAATCCCTTTCTCTCCCCATAGGTGCTTTTTTAATTTTTGAGCAATTCCTTTGTTTATCCAACTATATTTTGAAATCTGTCTGCCTGACGTAGTGCTTGCTGTATCACTTCTGTGTATCTATATTGTTTGGAAACTGAACAGCCTGGGTCAGTTATTGGCATGTTGACCTCTGAATTGTAATTATTTTATTAGAGATAGATAAATTTATGTTTTTTTTTTCTTGAAATGTGTCATCTATTCAACAAGGAAATAATTTGGCCTCATTTGACTTTTTTGCTCTTTCAGATTCGCATGATATTGTTTTACGTTTTAATAGTGCTCCAACCGAAGGCTTTGAAGAAGATGTTGGATCAAAAACAACTATAAGATTTTTAAATTCTCAAGTTGTTTCAAAACCAGAGTTTGATTTTTTGAATTCTCCTCTGTATCAAAATATAACTTTGATTGTGTGGGATCCTTCAAAATATCATGGCTCTCTTGAAGAGGTATAACATACTGTTAAGTATAAATTTTATTGAAAAATATATCAATTTTGAAAATTGGGGTTTTTGTGATAAATGCAGTTTTTTTAAAAAATTATATTCTCTCTTTTATTTTTTCCATTACTGAGAATATATGTTTTTAAGTGTTTAAAATCTTTACCTATCATTATTATATGATATCTACACATTTTCCTGTTATATGTTTATTATCATATTTTAAAGGTTTCATAATAATTATCTTTCTCCATCAGCCTATTTTGTTGTGAAATGCGTGTCTCGTTTTATTTAAGGGTTGAATTTTTTAATATTATACTGCTTCATTCTTCATTCTACATTTCTCAGTTTTAAGCAAAAGAGAGGGATAAGGTGGATAATTGGTTATTACTTGATTAAACTTATGCTGCAAAGAACTTTTTGGGGTCTTGTTTTTGTATCGTATTCTCACAAATATCGTTAAATATAGGGTAATTTTTTAGAAAATAATATATGAATTTAAGTACAGTGTAATAAGTGAAAATTGCCTCATTTGTCCGACTCATCGTCTAACATGCATCAAAAAAGGATACATTTATAAAAATTTTTACAAGTCAGATATTTTTTATCAGCCTCAACTAATGTTATTCTCTTTAAAACCGTACCATAATTTAGTGTAACAATCAAAACAAACATTTAATCACATAGTTTCTTTTCAGCTAGTATACTCCATATTGGTGTAACTGTATACTGTCCATATCCCAGATTTCATTGATACAAAAGTGTATTTCTTAATTAATCCCAAAGAATAAAAAGATTAATAGAAAACATTTCTTTAAACAATATAAAGAATGTAAAATATTGAAAATGTTTAAACTTTGCATTGAAATTTTAGAAACATGTAAAATCATGTTATTTGATTGAAAACATGGTAAAAGGAATTATTATATGTTTTAAAGTTAAATTATTTCACATAAAAAGAAAAACCTTTTGTGAGATAAAGTTATTTACTAAAGTTATTTTTATCTTGTATGGAATAAAAATGGTATTTAACTAGAAATAAAATGCTCACTACCTGTCAAATATTTTTAAATTTTAATTTGTCTTTTGTTATTATTTTTTCATTTTTTAATATCTATCCTTTTATCTCAAGATTTGTGTAACAGTTTAAGGACTTTATTATTAAACATGCTGTTTGAAATTTATTTAAATTTAAAAAAAAGCATCCTTACTGAAGTAAATTTTATTTTAAATAGTGATTATTAAATGTTGCTAATTTAGAATTGTTTTAAAATTAAAAAAAAGTTTTTCACCTTATATCTTTTTTATTTCTTTTGTAATATTTTAAAGCATAATTTATTACATGGAGCAGAATTTCTTAAACTGTGGTTCATAACCCCACTTGGAGTCGTGGGACCTGCAGCAAAGGTCGCCAGAAATTTTAACAATTTTGATTTTTCTTTAACTTATTATTATAACTGTACAATTACTGAATATTTTTATGTAATACAAAAAGATGAGACAATACAGACAAAAGAAATTTTTTTTAAATGTTTCAGCACATTTTTTAAGCATGTTAATTTCACTTGCTTTTCGAGTGATGCTGTCAGTTTGCATGTTCATTCTAGGCTATCTTTGCTGGTTGTAATTATTTCTCACCATCTATCGATTACGTTTTACAGAGGGAAATACATAGTGATAAACAAAGTAGAAACTTCTAAAAAGAATAAGCTTCAATTTGATGACTATGAAAAGATGAAATAAAGTTCAGATGATTTACAATGAAACGTTAACGAAACATGATACCCTACTCATGGAGACATGTGCCACAGCGCAGGCTCTACTTCTGCAGAATAATGTCACACGGTAATAAAATTTAGGAAAACATAATGAGAGCAAAGATATTTGTTAAGTCTCAACCTTTTAATTATCAAGATTTAGCATCATTGACCAATTAAACACTGATGAGCAATTTACATAAATTAAAGTACAAGTAACTAGAAAGTTGAGTAGCAACTAGATTCTAGCATGAGAATAATATTACCATACAAGTTTCATGATATTACCACTACTGTTGAATGCCGAACATCAAACTTTTCTGACGTCATCCTGTGGCTTAACTAGAGAGGTGAAATAAGCATAGATTCAGTTGATTTGATGCAATTATCACTTGTAGTAAAAGCAATCTTAGACTTCAACCAGTGCATTCAGTCACTCAAATGTGCCATTAAAACCCCAAGAACTTCCTGAGTAGTTAAATTATTCTGGGTTGAAAAATGATTTTAATGCAAAGTCCTTTAAAGTTTTTTGGCTTAGAGTTACAAGAGAATTTCTAATGAATTTTGAAACAGAAATGTTATAATTTCAATTACTTTTAGAATTTTGCTGTATGTGATTTTTAAACATTGTTTTTAATCAATTAGAATATGTAGGTAATTAAATTAGCATATATTTTTTAATATTTTTAGTGGTACAAAAAGCCAGATTTTGATCTATTTTCTTCATATTGGCTGCATAGGCAGATTTATCCAGATCAACAGTTTTATATATTGCATCCTGATGCCTTATGGGCTGCTTGGGACTTCATCCAGTCAAATACTGCTGTTCACATTGAGCCAAACCCACCATCTTCAGGTTTTTTAGGTAATACAATGATTATCTTGTTTTATATTCCTTTAATTTACTTAAAAATTATTTAGTTTTTTTTGTTTTCCCAAACTTTTTCCTTTTTTGTTAACCAAATACACCATGTCAAAAATTAGTCACTTCTGAAGAATGCAATGTTTTTTTGCCTTAATTATAAGTAAATATTGTACAATCTAAGCAAATTAGTTTTTTTTTTAACAGTCCATCTGCTACAATAGAAATTTTAGGAAAATACTTTAAGGCTCTCAAAAAATGTAAAACTGAAAGAAGACTTTTTAATATTTTTTTTAAAAGCATATCGGATTCTATAAAAAAGAAATCTTAACAAAAGTTGCAATATCGCCTCTTTTATAAGATTCTTACAATTGTTTCTATGTATACAGGTATAAAGAAATACTTATTACAGAAGAAAAAATGACAATCTGTATCACAAACAAATAATGATATGATCTTAACAAGAAAAAAATATTAACCTTTAAGCTCTCCACCTGCGAAAAATCTTGTTAAAAAATGAAAATTTAAAATTTGTTTACAAAAAAAACAACAAAAAAAACACATCAGCTTCTAGAATAGTATGCCGAATCATATTCCTAAGCCTTGTAAAATTTTGTGTAAGTTTTATTTCTTCTGATTTTAGCTTTTTTGCTGAAAAAATTTTTAAACTCATTTTAAGCACTGTTTTTTTTTTTTTTTTTTTTTTTTTTTTTTTTTTTTTTTTTTTTTTTTNTTTTTTTTTTTTTAAAGTTTTTCAGGATATTTGATTAAATAAAATATAAAATGTATAGTAGACTCTCTGAAGTCTGCACAACTTGGGACCATAGGCTTTGCAGATTTTTTATAATTTATTTGTTTATAATTTAGCATTTTTTATTAAATTATTTAAGTTATCAGCAAATTAAAATTATTATGTTGCTTTTCAAACATAAATGCTAATGTAGTTTGTTTTATAGTTAGTATTAATTTTAATGATGTTTTTTCTAGTTAACAGTTAAAATTTTTTATTTAAAAACAAAATTGAATCTTTGTGTAAAGAAAAAATATTTTTCATCACAGATAAACCTTCACCTAAAGCATTGGCCCTGATCTTCTTAGTGTTTCAACACATTGTGAGTTTTGTCACTCTGGAAAATGCTCTAATTACTTTGGATAAGTTTGGATAATTTCTATTATTTTGCATACTGCACAATTAAAAACAAGTTTAACAATGTTTTAAGAGCACCTGGAATTTTAATAGAGCACAGTAAAAAAATGAATTAAAATGAAGCTTTAAAGAAACTGCATGTGATAATGAGGAAATAATAACTTCATTAAAAAAAAATATAAAATAAAATATGAATATTACAGGGGAAGAGGTGAATAAGAAATTACCTGCTCTGCATTTTTGTCAAATACATGATTTAAGAAATGAAATTTTTAAACGGATGTTAATTAAGTCAAAATAATGAATTAAATGGATATTTTATTTTTATATGGATATATTTATTTTTTACCCAGTTGAAAAGGACAAAAAAATTAGGTAATGTGGACTTTTTCATTAATTTAAAAGAAAATTATGCATAAAAAGGGAGTGAATAATATTTAAAAAGAATTATTAAAACGAAATAGATTTCTTCTAACTGCAACTAGTAATAGTTTGTTTACATCCTAACATCATTGCTGATTTTAGGGTGTCTGCTGTATTTCCATGAGACTAGTTGTTTGTTAAATCTTGAAGTGCAGGAATTGCTATCTAAGTATGTTTTATCTCTCAGTTCTTACAGTTTTTTAACCAAATCAATGTTTAGCACTCTTCCAAGCTCTGTAAATTAAATTTTCCTCATTGCTGTATTTCGAAAATCTTTTTATTTTATTGAGAAAAAAACAGCTGAAACTTTCCTTTGCATTATAAGCAGTTGGTGTGATGTGAGAAAGCAGATATGTAGCTAACAAATTTACTGTTTAAGGCAGTGAAATTATCAGTGTTAATGCAATAATAGCTTCAAATGTCTTTTGCAGACAATTCCCACCATACATAATTTTTACTAACAGGTTAAGAGGAATTTTCATTCACTTTCAATAGCATGGCTGTCAAGTTAGGAAACAGTTTTCTAATTCAAGCCACGAAACTTTCCTTCTATCTCTCTGGGTACAGTTCTAACATTTCAAGACCTTACATACAGTGTTTTCATCGAAGAAAAAAAATGGGTGAGAATTTCTCACCCTTTCTCAAAAACAGGGTGAGATTTCAGAAAGTTAAGTGAGATTTCTAAAAATAAAAAGGACAAAGAGACTTGAAAAAAAAATCATTTCTTTAATTATAATACATTTTTAACATCTTCTAATTTTTAAAGCTTTGAATATTTTTGCTGCATCATCATATGCAAAATGTTCTACATCTACTTTTTCATCAGCTATTCTCATTAGGTTGCTCAAATGAGTGTTTGTTTCGTTTTGATCGTTTCTACCCACGTTTGTTTCATTTTCATTTGTCCATTTCGGAGTAGAAGATATTGCCTTTACAAGGTATTTTTCCATCTTACATTAATGGGCAAAAAATTTGAACTTCTTACATGGAGAAACCTTAACTACGGTAAACACGTGGTTGCAGAGAAATGCGTTCTGAAAGAGGTTTCGTGGTTCGGAGGGATGGTGTTCTGTTGTTTTTAAAGGTTCTGAACAATACTGGTAAATAGGGAAGCTAGATAAAGGGCAGATGTTGAAAATAATGAAAGATCCAGGAAGAAAAATGTAACGGATTTTATTCTAAATGGCGCAATGAGAAATTTTTTTCAAAATGCGGGAAATTCGCGAATTTTGAAATTGGTTTATAGAATGCGCGAATTTCTCGCGGTAATCATTTTTTAATGCGAGAAAAGAAAAAAATATGCGAGATTCTCGCGTTCTCGCGCTGTAGTGAGAACACTGTTACATAGTACACTTAGTTTTTCTTTACATGTACATGCCCTCCAATTAGTATGGAATTTCATTAGTTTAAGAAAACATAATCAATTAATATTTTAAATAAGAATTAAAAGAATTTGTCCCCCACTATTTCGAAATAATTATTATGAATGATCAGATTGATTAAATGATTGCTTTCTTACATTCAGATTAAAAAAAATTATAAATTATATTTGTTTTAAAACTTTTCATGTTAATTTAGTACCACTGGAAAATATTTCTGCAAACACCTCAAAAGTTGAATAATATGTATTTATAAAAATATTTGTTCATTTAGGATTTAGGTAAAATATAAAGTTTATTCCTTTTCTAAAAAGAGAGATTAAGTGATTTCCTAAAAACAAATTATGAAAAAAATACAAATTTATTTTGGACTTGAATCATTTACATAACTTGAGATAAAGTTTTGAAGCAGGAAAGTAAAATGCTTGTTAGTAATCAATCAATGCTATATTTTTTTTAATAAAAATTACCAAGTTAAAATACATATATTTTGTGATGACTATCAGTGTCTAAGCCAATGTTTGTTATGTCTCCTCTTAACTGTTTCTATTTTTTTATTATATTTGTTTAAAGTCTAGGTCTTTTTTTATTAAAGAAGGAAAGTTTGAACTTTTTTTTATGAAACCAAATAATTGAATTCGAATAGAAAACTGTATATTGACACAAAAATGTTTTCTTAATTATGATATTGAGAAGTTTGGTAGAGGTGTATTTAATTTTGTTATATAGTCATTTTAGTTAATTTTGTGATAAATTCCTACTTTCATAAAATTAAATTGTTCTTTTAGGTCTAACTCTCCTTTTAAACATGTGTAACATTGTTGATGTTTATGAATATGTTCCTTCCATGCGATTTACAAAACGTTGTCACTATTTTGATGTTCATGATGACATTGGCTGTACTTTAGGAGATTGGCATCCTCTCTCATCTGAAAAACTAATTACTTTGTCTTTAAATGAAGGATCTGATCGGGACATATTTGTGACTGGAAAAATTGTTCTAGCTGGATATAGATTGCAAAACTGTTAAGATATCGAGAATTCTTCCAAGTTGATTGATTATTTCTAAGTAAGTCTTTTAGCTTAAAGTTACAATAATTTGCGGTATTGATAAGTCTCTTGATATAGATATCTGAAACACTAAGAAGATTTCTGTAACTTTTTGATAAGTTAAATGAGACTTTAAAGTATGTACAGTGTGTCCAAAAAAACAGACCACATTGAATAACTTTTGATCTAATGATCAAATCTTCATTTTAGGATGCATTTTTAATAATTTGTGGGGGTGACCTCAAATGTGCAGTGCAAATATTAGTGCAGACAATATTGCACCCAAAACTGTACTTTTTCTGAATAAACAGACCTTTTTTCTACAGATTCAGATTTCTGACCCCCAAAATATAGGGGATAGCTGCAATCTGGGAAATATGGTCCCAATTGTTTGGTCAGGAGAGCGATCCAAAGTTTGGACCTCTAAAGCCCGTATTCACCATTGACCCTAACCCTCAGTCAGAGTTCAAAGCAGGTTTTATGAGAGCAACTCTAGGTCAGAGTCCAAAATTTCATTTCACCGTGTGCGTAACTGCGAGTTACTCTAACCCAGAGTTAAGTAACTTTAACCTGAAGATATTTCCGGTTAGAGTAGCCGCGCATGCGCAGTAAACGAGTGTTTGTTCATTTACTTCGTTTTCTTCGTCGTTATTTTTTATATTTCTGCTCTTTTTCATTTGATAATTTTAATTGTTTTGAATTTCGATTATTTTTTTTTTTGTATTTTGAACCTGCAGATTTCCCCGGACAAACGCGGATATGAAGAAGGAGATTTTTTATTTATTTATGTTTTCGCATGTAACACTTTTGATGTTCGGTTGCTTATGTTCAATGAGGTCAATTTTTTCACTTGATGCAACTGTAATTAATTTATTATCTTTGCCTTGCCTTCAAAAAAATATGGCATACCATAATATTAATAAAATGAAAATATATTAATAAAATGAAAATTAAGTAACACTTTATTTTGATGTTCGGTTGCTTTTTTTATGTTTAATTAATAAGATTATTTTTTTACTAGATGTAACTATAATTAATTTAAATCAAATAAATGCTTATTAATAAAATGAAAATTAAATTTTCTTGAGTTAATATCTTCTACAGAAGATACTATATATATTTCTCAAATTATTATTAGCAGTCGTTACAGCACTTAAATAATTTTTCACTCGAAAAAAAAGTCGTGGATAATAAAGATTGCGGCTACAATAATTCAAATGAATAGTGTAAGTAAGAAGATTGTAAATAACTTAAATAACTTTTACTTATTTTTTGAAAAGAAAGAAAACAATCGATACTTGAAAGAAATATAAAATTTAAAAAAGAATATAATTCATTAAATGTTTTTAGATTTCGATAATATCTATCGAGATGATAGATCTTGCCCAAAAATAAAAATAGTTTAGAGTTGAACTTCCAAAATAATGTGCAATATTTAGATATGAAGATAACGAAAAGAATTTACAACTTTTTTAATCCATAAAATAAAGCTATTAATTAAATTTAAAAACATATACATTACTTTAAATATACATTAGAAATTATGCTGAAATAAATATTACTTAATCAATGCAAATTTTGATCCGAGGTAACATTTTAACTACACAATAATTTGCATCAAATAACTTTGCAAATCAGGAAATTTAGAATTTTATAAGCATGAAATAATCTGCTGAATATTTTGAAAAAATAGGATCATTTGGAAGAGATCTATTGCTTAAAACTATATGAAATTAAAATGCCCGTCTTTAGCTATAATTTTTAATATATAGCCTGACTACTTAATGACATATGAGGCATTTATACAACTGATATATTTCCATTTACAATTATCTAAATAATTAAATTTTTAAAGGCATAATTTTTTTTAAAATTTTAAAGTTTCGGAATATTTGTTCCGATTATGACATTTTCCTTTAAAATTTTAAAGTTTCGGAATATTTGTTCCGATTATGACATTTTCCTTTAAAAAAAATTGTTATCTTATATTCACCATATCACAGACGTCGATTCTCTCTTATCATCAGCAGATGGCAGCACAATAGTAGTCATTTATAACTTCTGAATAATATGAATGTGTTGATTTATGCTTATCTGTACTAAGAAGTTTATTTTATACAATTTCATTTAAAATTTTTAAAAAAAAATCTTCTCTATGGTTTAAGTTATCGAGAATATGTTATGAAGGGGAAGAAGAAGAAGAAAGAAAAGATTAAAAATACGCGAATAAGGATGACAATGATGTTAGCATAATCCCCTTGATCATAGTGTAAAATAAAAGTATTAAATAATTGTGTGAAATAAAAGTATTTTTAATTGAATTTCAGTTACACTTCTATGGTTGCTTGCGGCTTTATGATATCCAAAATAATAAAATATCTAAATTCATAATAATAAAGCTCGGATCCTTTTGCTCATCAATACAAGTCAGTTAGGAAAACGAAACTAAACATATTTTTTATTTGACCAGTAAAAGAGAGATTCAAATTTAAATACTCGATGCAATCTTTTTTTCTTCTTCTTTTAATAGAATTTTTTTTAAAAAATAGCAACGAAAATTGAAAACAAATGCTGTTAATACGGCTATAAATCTACCGCCTGTAACTGCCGATCAAGTAACCCGCAGTTACGAAACCGAAGATCAAAAAATAATGGTGGAATCGCTTTTGAACTCTCGATCAAAGTTTCCAAACCAGGGGTTTTGGAACTGGGAGTTACGCATTAGGTCAGAGTCAATGGTGAATACGGGGGTTAATGTTAATTCAACTTTTTGCATATTTTGCCATATCTCGAGTATAAGCGAATTGAAAATTTGTTGCATACAATTATCAAATTTGTTTATCCAAAAATAATTCCAAAATTTAGCAAATATTTATTATTTTCTTAAATAATAGTCAAAAAAATTATGCTAAATAATTTGAACAGTTACTGAGAAATCGAATTTTAAGCAAGTTTACAACCAATTTTGCTCAAATTTTGTATTTTGCCCTGTAAAATTACATGCTTTAAAATTATATAAAAAATTGTATACTTTACAATTCAAGTTTTTTTTTACTATTATTTAATAAAAAAAATAAATAAGTACTAAAATTTGTTTTTTTTGCATGGAATTATCTTTTAATAAATTAATTTTATAATTGAGTGCAAAAAATCTTCAATTGACTTAAAACTTTGTACAGAAATGGCAAAATATGCAAAAAGTAAAATTAACATTAAGGGGTCCAAAAGTTGGATTGCTATCCTGACTAAACTATTAGGACCATATTTCCCAGACTGCAGCCCACCCATATATTTTGAGGTTTGGAAAGCTGAATATGTTGAAAAAAAAGGTATGTTTATTCAGAGAAAGTACGTTTTTTGTCTGATTTCGTAACTTAAAATATCGTCTGCACTAATTTATTGAAATTGATTGTTTTGAAATAAATAAATTACAGATTATTACTTTATAGCAACTGAATTTCATTTTATCCCATAAATCACAAAAATAATTTATTAGGTATTAATGATATTATGTACGTATAATATGTGTAGTTTGTATGTTAACAACATTATATACTAAAAAATTAAAATAGCTTAAAAAATTTGAACTAAATTTTGAACTATTTTATATTTTATTGCAAATAACAAATAAAAAATATAATGTAAAGACCAATTATTAATGAAATGTATTTGGAGAGTCTGCAATTGATATTTATTTCTTTTTTGGATATTTTACAATTATTTCGAAATTGCTATATCTTTTCTAAATAAGTCATAGTAGAAGATGCATTTTCTTGTTGAATGAGAACATTTTTCAAAGTTCTTAGCAATGCATCAGCCCTCAAAATATTTCTTTATCTTGTTCTTTTTCTTCATCTAAAGATTCATTATTTTTTTCTAAAATGTCTGCAACTTTCTCTTCTGTATAAATAAGATTTTTTATTGGCATTTACTTAAACATGAAAATCAGAAGAATCCATTTTGAAAAAAAAATATCCCTATTTATCCTGGTCTTTTTGTTAAATAAGTAATTTGCAAGCAAGGTTTTTGTTTTCTTGAAGCATTGGGACTTGGCGGATTTTCCAATGACTAGCAAAGAAAGATCATTTGAACCCATCCATATCGCAGCACACTAAAACTGTTAAGTCTTCCTTTGCTTAATTTTTTTTTGTCTGCCAGAACATTTTTGATATTTAAAAAGCAAAGGTTCACCTCAAACTTTTTTCCGATGATTCCTTTATCTTTCTTTGAATTATCATGGCAAGTCATTGAAGCACACAACATCAGTAATTTTCTTAGCATCATTAAAAAATTTGGAGGGAGAGAGACGAAATTTAAATAACATTTCCTGGCATGAGATTCTAACTTTTCGCAAAATTTATCATTTTCTAAACTTTAACAGAAAATTTCCAAGAAGAAAATAATAAAAGAAAATGCTACATTAAATGCCTATTTCTTTCTTAATATTTCTACACTATTTTGTTGTTTTTCTTTATTACTATTCTTTTTTATCATGATTTATGTATAAAGCTTAACAGTTTGTCAATGTATACATATTGTAAAAAATAAATAAGTATGTAAATAAGTATTTTTTGTGCAAGTTAGTTTCACATACTTTTTATTTATTTTTTCATGATTTGACTTGATAGGTATTGTTCTGATTGTCCTTTTCCCTTTCTCATACTCGAAATTTATAAATATCACTTCATTCACTTGCATATCAGTGTTTACATATCAGTTTCCTTTTGTGTTAAGCAATAATCAGCTTAGAAATGTCATGATAAACATATAAAGTACTATATTAATTGATTATAAACTCTTAGAACCAAACATGTATTTTATGTAAAGTGATCTTTTACATTAAGTGATTTTACATTAATGCAGTTCTGTTCACAGTAATGTAGACTGTATGTATACATGAATTGTTCTCCAGAAAGAGTGACATTTCTGTTTCTTGCCTTTATTCAACACATTTTTCTTATGAGGAGTTTTTTAAATTAACCTTCAATTACTCAATTTTAACATATTAAATTTCTTACATCATAAATATTGCGACTAATAGCTTAATTTGAATGAGAAAAATGTCACTTCTGTTCTCTGTCTATAACCGTAGAGTAAGATATTTAAAACTAATATCAATCTAAGTACAAATGTGTATCCTTTTGTTGCTTAATGTGAAGTTTATTAGATATGTATAGCATTTTTCATTAACCTCTATATTTTCACAATTCATCAGAAATATTCTTTCTCTTAATTTATTTGTCATTATTGTCTCCTATTATAAATATTATTAAATTGTCCCTAAAGGACCTCATATTTGTATCAAATGAGAAGGAATTATTAATATGACTTCTTGTTTTTCATATATATGTAAAATATAGTTAATTTGCTGACTAGCGATTTTTGCATCCGAATCAGTCTAAAAGTAAGAATATTTTTATACACATACATCATTATTGTCCCTTCTATATGTTATCTAATTCTATATTTTATTTAGTCTATATTTTATCTTACTTTTATAATTAAGATTAATTTTGTCATTTCAGACCATTCTACAAACTAATTTTCTTAAACTCATAATAAGGACCCTCACCCCATTACTAAAGCAACAAGTTATTTTTCAACATTTTGTCACAGCTGTTCTCTAAAAATCATTTTATGGTTTGGTCATAAGTGACTCTTACAATAACAACATCAAATGATAATTTTTACTGATTTTTTTTACATAACATATTTTTAAAATAAAAAAAGATAAAAATAAAATTAAAATAGTTTTGTAATTTCTTTATTTATATTTTCAACCAATACTCTTAGTTTGTTCTATTAGGAATATATATATTATTATGTATGTTTGTGGTGTTGAGGTATGAGTTGATTTGCATGTGTTCCAACTAAAGTGTGCAACCATTTCAGTTTCTTCTAGACATAACTCGAAAAGTTCTAATAATTATAATGATGAGATAAAGGTTGTAACAGGAGTTACTGTGATGCATAATGATTTCTAGTATTCAAGACTAATTAAAACATTTTAGGATATAATAATAAATTTTATTAGTAGGTCTGGTCTGGCAAGGTATTTTATTGGCCTTCAGAGCCAGACAAATAAGTGCCTAGAAATGAAGTTTTATCTAAAATTATTGTACCACCATACTAAATCTAGGTCAAGCCTTTCAAGATAGAATTTTTTTTAAAAATTAATGCAAATTCTTTATTTTATACTTGAAACTACAACAAGATATAATAAATATTTGAATAAATTGAAAATCATACTTTAATTAAATCTGAACTTTAATGCAATTAGCCTCTCATGTTTTGTTTTTCCATCTGTTACTAAACTTCATCAAACCAAATTAAAATTCGGATCTAGGTTTTTTGAAAGCAAAAGAAACTTTATTATTTTGAGGAAGTTTTTTTTTATGCTAGGCATTTATTAACTGGAGTATCTTGGTATATATAAATAATAGTGAACTTTAAATATGAATCATTGTAATATTAGGGCACTTGTCAAATTTAGCAAAATTTTATTTTTACAGAATTTGAGAACAGAAAAAATTTATTTTAACAAAAAGTAAATTGTTGATAAATATAAACAAGCTATTATCAATCTTACTAATTTAAATATGTTATCAAAAATGCTATGAACTAAGCACATTGAATTACCTACATAGAAAATAAATAATTAAAAATATTAAATAAACAGATTTGATTTTTTATGCCAAAAACTTTGAATACTGAAATATGAAATGTGCATGAAATTATTAATGTGAACTTGTGGAACTATCACATTTGACTTCTCACATTCTAGTTCAGAAATTTAACAGTTTAACATATGAAGTTTTCAGTTAATGGGTAATTTTACACAGACTTAATGTAAATCCTTCTTTTTGTAAATAGTTGTTGTTTTTTACCCACTTTTGAAGCTTTGTTCATCATCCTAGAAATCAGTCTCTGGGGAAAGATAATCACTTATTTTCCAAAGAACTGAAGTAGGATTTTCAGTTGTTTTATCTTGTCCAGAAGAATCACTTTAAACTATAGAGGCTAGTGTTTTGACTAGCTGAAATTTATAAATCACAACAGGAGTTGTATATTTTCTCCTTTTAAAGACGGCTTGTTTCATCATCAATTCGTATAACAGTGTTATTGTTTCTAATTAATAAACCTCCAAAATGTGTTGAAGCTTCTGTGCTTGTACTTGTGTTTGTCCTATGTGATATTGATTGACAATCAAACCACCATACTGATGTTGACCTTGGGTAAGAAGGACTGCCAGAATCCACCTGAAATCATTCAAACTCTTAGAATTTCAAATAAATTTTTTTCCAATTTTTTTAAAAACAGTAATTGTAAATAAAACATTCCCTTTAAGAACTGCATATTATCTAATAATTCAACTGGAAATAGAATACTTGTTTTGAGTTTGTGATAAGAATACTGGTATCTTTTGGAACTAAAGCTTTTAAAGCAACTTAATTTTTTTCCATAAACTAATTTTTTTTAGTTATAACCTTTCTTTTCATGTATGAAAAGAAAGGTGAACTGAATGCTATTAAGCAGTACAGCAATACAATTGTGCTCATTAATCAAATTCTAAGCTTCTCTTGAAAGCATACTTTATTATGCTCTTGACATTTTTTAATGTTAACCATTTTTATAGTGTTGGTAAATATGCATTTAAACAATTTGCTAAGCCTTTTTGTATTAAATCTGGGGCATGATATTTAATAAAAGTAACAATATTTAAACATTAGCCCATAATATGTAGTAACAAAATTTGATAAAAACCTTTTCCTAGCATGAATGAATGAATCCACTAAATTTATTTTACAAGGTGAGATATCTATTGAATGTATCTATAAAATAACAAATACAATCTTAGTGTTAGTTTAGATGATGCATTTTATTAAATTTGTGTTCCACGATTTTAGGGGATTTAACTAAATATTATGTTCAACAATTCAATAAAACCATTAAAAAGTTTAAATTACAATAAAAAATTTCTCGTGTGACTTCACCTAGGTAATTGCAAAAAACTTAATGATAATGAACATTAATCCAATGAAATACTAAATTTTTATGAGGATTCTTTAATACTTGATGTACTTTTATAACTGTTTGTAAGCAAATTGTATTTGTATTGTTAACGCATAATTTAATATCTTGTGAGTAGTTTTTTTGTCAATGTCTAACCTTCCAAGTGTTGAGTCTCTGGGTAAAATGGTGCCCAATTTTTCTGCTGTGCATTATTTTCCCGCTCAATAACATAGATAAACCAGTTTAATGATTCAGGAAAGCCTGCGTCTGACAGTTTGAAAAAAGCCCGGACTAACACTCAGAGGATTAACTTAAGGTGACCAAGTAAATTCTATATTTTAACAAGCCTTACTTTTTTAAATAGAAAGCTAGTCTTTTTCAGTTAGACTAATTTGATACTTACTTCAAATGATATATCATTGAATCTGTAGTATTTGTCACCTTTGAAAAAATATGTTTTACTATTTTCCCACTGAAATGCAGCATCAATATTATTTGGCAGACCTTTCCAGTTGCTAACTGGCTTAGGATATTTGCTGCTTACAGGAGGGTCGCTATTACTATCATAACGCCAATATTTGTCTCCTGACAAGAAAAAAAAATTAATGTCATTTTATACAACTAGCACATTAATTGTTTTTAATTCAAATCCATCAATACAAATAAAGTTCTAATCTTAATAAGTTAACTAAAATTTTTGTTCTTTTTTCTTGTAATTTATTTACATTTTACACAATCTGATATTGTTTTTCTTACTGTTTCTCACTACCAATTTTTTTTACTAAAAGTTAGTGAAATTACGATCAAAGTTAGTGAATCACTAAAATTTCAACTTGATAAGCATGCTTGCAAAATTTTTCATATGCTGTTATTATCTTTACTTTATACATTTGTATTAATTGCTTGAACAATTATATTGAAACTTTACATAGAAGTATGCTACAGGTCTAAGATAAAAAGTGTTCTTCAAAATGAAAAAAAAATGTTAGCCTGTTTTAAAGAAATTTGAAAAAACATTGATGATTTTATTCACAAGGATATTAGTTTATTATTTTCCCATTTCCTTAATTTTTGAACCCTCCTACTTTTAGTAAAATTATCCCTTAGAAGTTTTCAAACAGAAGACAGGATATAAGTTTACAATAAAACAAAAAATATTGGTCTGATAGGTAAATTAAATGTCTTTAATGTCTGTGATAGACAATTTTTGATAATAATTGAATCCTAAATAACTAAAATAAACTTTTTTTTTTAAAGGAATGACAGTGTAAGATCATTATATTTTTCTATGGTATTGAAGTGAAGATAACCAAGAAAGTATGTTTACCAAACTTAGCTAATTATAATACCTGAGCCTACAAATTGATACAAAGTAAACTGAACATTAAATATATGGTATATATAAATTTATTGATAAAAAATCGTAAACTGAAAAAATTAGCTACGCCCCTGTCTATAATTTAACAATAACCCTAAAAAAGTTTTCACTTTTAAATTATCAAAATAATATTCAAGAAAATAAAATTTGGTTATAAGTAACGCACCAAGAAAGCAAAATATGAGTGTTCAAAATAACTTAACCAACTATGTTGTTAAGATAAGGAGGAATTAAAAAATGATATGCATGTCAGGTTTTCAGCAGAACAGTACTAACTAAAGAAATGGAACTAGTAACATAAGCAGTTACTGCTAACTGACACACCATTATTTGTCAACTGGAAACCATTCGTGAAGTAAGATTGGTGCACAAATTTAAAAAACTTTCATCAGATTTCACTTCATTAAGAAATAAATAAGATTACAACAAGAAACTTTTTTTCATGTTCAAGATGTTGAATGTTTTAAGCATTTTAAAAATTTGCAGTTTGTCATGACGAAATTATCTCAATCTACTGACATTATTAGTTAAATTACACATTGTCCAAACGGAATCATACTTTTTTTACTATTCTTAGTTGTCTTACACATCACATTGCTAGACGGTGATGTCATCAACTGCAATGTCAGAGTTACTCATTTGCAATTTTTTTTCTCTTTGTAAATTTTGTGCAGTTTATTTTTAAGATAACAATTTTTAAAGTTGATACCTTCTTTAATCAAGAAATTATGCTTCTTTTACTGCTATTGCTATATTATTTTTTTTATGCTAATGTTGTTATTCATTGTTGCTACACTTATATTTTCTACGGTTTTACTGTTGCTATTCAAGTACATCATGTTGTACTGTGTGGCAAAAATTTTTTTTATTAATTAAAAAAATAAATAATAAATAAATAAAACGTAAATAACATAAATAAAAAATAATGAAAAAATAAAAAAAATTGGAGCACTCTGAATAACTTTTGATCTAATAATGGAATTTTCATGAACTAGGACTCAAACTTAATGGTTCATGAGGGTGACCATTAAGTTATTTAATGCAGATGATGCTTTAAGTTACAGAATCAGACACAAAATGTACTTTCTCTGAAGTAACATACTTTTTATCAACGGATTTGGATTCCTGACTCTTAAAATATGGGGAATAGCTGCCATCTGAAAAATATATACAACTTTTTTTATATATAAAAATCCAATTTCTCAGGAATTATTTGACTGATTTTGTTAAAATTTTGTATTTTGCCATATAAAATTACATTCTTTAAAATGTAAATTTCATGTAATTCAAATTTTTTTGACTATTATTAAATAAAATATTATAAAGTAATAAATAATTATTAAAAATTATATTTGTGTATGGAATCATCTGTGGATAAACAATTGTAAAAAATTTTCAAGTCACTTGAAAATTTCTTAAGATATAATGAAATACCTTAAAAGTAAAATGAACATTAAGGGGTCCAAACTTTTGTGCAGTTTCCTGACCAAACTATTGGGACCATATTTTTCAGGTTGTGGCTACCCCTCATATTTTAAGGGTCAGGAATCTAATTCCGTTGAAAAAAAATATGTTTATTCAGAGAAAGTGCATTTTTGTGTCTGATATCATATTTTAAAATATAATCTGCCTAAATAATTAGCATAGTTGAGGTCACCCTCACGGACCATTAAGTTTGAGTCCTAGTGTGTGTAAATCTGATCAATAGACTAAAAGTTATTTAGGATTTTCTATTTTTTTCTGCACACTGTACATAACACAGTCCTATTCATTTTAGGATGATTGAAGTCTATGCAAAATTTATTTCTGACTATTTTTTCATAGTTTTACTCATCTCTGTGTTTGCATTGTTTCTGCCACATTTTGAATTTCTGACCTTAATCTACCTAGGCCTTAACAACATTATAAATGAATTAAAACTTCTATGTGTCTATGTAGTTTCCATGAGTATATGAGTATGCCTTACATTTATTTTACTTCTGTCACAGAGGAATATGCAATCCTGCCTTATAAGCTATGTCAAAAGTGCTATTGTGAGGAATTTCTGTTAACACTTTTAAAATGTGACTAATTTATCTTCAAATGTTTAATAATATCTAAAAAATTTGAGAGTGATCCTCATATTGATTGATTTTTTGCTACTAAGTATTCTAATGTCAGAAGTGGAAAATGCTATATGACTCTTGCTAAAATTTAAACTCATTAATATTGATATTTATCTGACAATTTACATTTTAAGAGAAAAAAGTAATCCAATATTTACTTATTTTTTAATGCCAGTTGAAATGCTCCTCTTACATTGATCGAGTTAATTTTTTGATCTAATCACTCTTTTGTAAGGCTGTTATTTAATTTCAAAATTTGGGTTTTGTCATTTAAATGTACTAAATAGAGTTAGAAGATGTAAAAATTTGTATACCTTACTACTCAAACTTATTTAAATTATTATTAAACTATAAATTATTAAAAAACAATTAATAATTATTAAAAATAATTTTTGTTCAGAATTCTCTTTGAATAAACAAGTTTTATCAATGCATGTAAAAATTTTTTGATTTGCATTGTTAGTTCTAGAAATATGGTCTAATAAGCAAAAAGTAAAAAGAACCACACAATTTTTACTCTTCTTCTCTATTTAGACCAAATTTCCCAGATTGTATATATTTTTGTGGCAGATTTCATAGCTTAAATTATCACGAGTACTAATTAATTTAAATATCTTAAGTTGTTCAATTAAAACATTAAGATTGTATCTTAGTACCTGGAGTTCTAATAGCTTGATCAAAAATTATTCAGTGTGTTTCACTTTATTTGTTGATTGCGTATCAGTTGGTGGGTCAAACTTGATTCAACTGATAATTTGGTTTATTAACGTGTGTGTTATTTAAAAGCATGTGTTATTCAAAATTTGAATGCTCTTTATATTATTATCATTTTCCTAAGATTCTTAGCATGCATTAATACAAACATTTCAGTTTTAACTACAGAGATACATATTTTGCATGTGACATGAATATATATATACACACATAAGAACACTACACTATTATATAAATATGTAGTGAAAACGACTTACCTTTAAAGAAATATGTTTTACCATTACCACTCCATACAAAAGCTGCATCTAGCATATCTGGTATTCCTTCAAATCCTCGTGATAATAACTTTGGATAACCAGTATCCATTTCTTTGTTTGTGAACCTCCAATATCTTCCTCCCTATACATTGAAATTGTTGAGGAGTAATTTAAATTAAAGGAATATATAATTTCTTCAAACATATATATGTCCAAGGATAATTCATCTGATTTACTACACTTCTTTATACAAAGCTTGGTATAATGCAAAGCTCATTGTAATAAGCCTTAAGCAAATTCTGACTGAGTGTATCTTTGTGAAATTTAAATTCATCTAAAGGTATATGGAGTGATTTTAATAAGCCTGAAATTATCCAGCTGAAAAGAAAATACTGGAAAAATTTTCAATTAGCCTCTCACATTGCAAAATGAGAGTAACATATGCAAAGTGCTGGATCTCTGGATTAACCTACAACATATACAAAGCAAATAAGGTATTCAGTAGGAAGTATGTACATCAAAATCACCTTTTAAAACGTACTTCTGGTGAACATGAAATTGCTGATAAATTTTTAGAGCTCTAAATGTATGAAATCCTGATCCTTTCACCACAGACTGGTCCTATACCACGACCTGACAAATTGTTGGTTAGATCTTTGAACTGACCCCCCTTTTTTAAACAGCTTAGGATATTATATATATAATTACTTTTCAAACTACTTTTAACTAATGTATCATCTAAACTTCCCACTTTAAGCAATTAATTCCCTTAGGCAATTACAATCTTTCCTCAGGAGATAAGCTCTTAGGTGCAGGCTTTCTGAGACATCCATTCCAGTTCTAGTTCCAATGTATAAAAATATTCAGAGATATATGAAAATATTTTAAGTGCATTCTTCATTATTTTAATGAGACTTAGTAGTAATAACTGAAAACTAATATATAACTCTTTGTTTTGATTCCTGAAATCTTATTTGTTTGTTTCTGTTCAATTACTATTTTTTCCGATATAAATTGTGTTACTCTGCCATTTTCTTTGCAGGCATTTCCTTTTGTGTACTTAATTTACAAGATAACAGTGTGGATAACTTTGGTAAAAGTTATTCAGACTGATTATATGTGCCACAAAGTCTGAAATCAACCTGTGTGTGTGTATCCAGTATGCCAAAAAAAGAAAAAGACCTGTTAAAATGAATTGATGTACTTCTAAACATTTAATTTATTTCTTGTTTAAAATTATGATTTTAATAAAATCTTATGAAACTTAAAAACATTTTTTAGTTATTGTTTCTAATTCTTCCTTGTTTTCTATCTTTTAATTATTACTATTAATTAACTGTTTAGTAAATGTGTGCCTGTTTAAGTAAATAATTTTTAACTTTCCAAAATAATGAAATATATGTATGATATGGAAGCTTTTTTAGTTTTCCTCCTTTCATGATATGATAGAGCATTTCAAACAGTCTGTAGACCATTGCATATCATTGTAGTTAATATTGGCTGATATTGCAAAATAATGATTTCTAGACATGCTGCTTATTTAGACATTGAATTTATCATGTAAAACAGTTCCTAAAAAGGGATGAAGATCAGTAATTGTCATATGAGATCATATGTTTTATGATAGTTGCATCCTTAAAGAGAAGCACAGTTTTATATAAATAATATATATACATATATGTTAACATATTTCTTACCTTAAAAAAGTAAGTCTTTCCATTTGACCATGTTAAAGAGGCATCTAAATTTCCTTCAAGGCCATTCCAGTCATCTGTAATTTTTCGAGGATATCCATCAGCTATCGCATCTTTGAGAATTTTCCAATAAAACTCGCCTATAAGTAGATAATTTTTAATAAATTAAAAATTTGATTTTTGTGAAAATGTTTTTTTAACTCAATTTTAGCGAACTGAAATTGTGACAATTAAAATAATCTTTTAATTCTTGTATACTTAATCTTTTTATTCATTTTAGTTATATTAAAAATGTCTATCACTTATTTTTAATCCTTTCAAGACAATAGTACTCCTATAAAAGTTAGTAGATCTAGTTAAAGTATAATGAAATTTTTCCTTTTCTTTAAAAAGTATGGTAAACGTATTGTGAAATAAAATACGCGTGTAGTATTAGGCCTGTATAAATTTATTTATACAGGTATAAATTTATTTAAATTTCTGTGCAACTACAAATCTTTTATCTTTTGAATGTGGAATTATGTTTATGTATGAGTCAAAATTTCTGATATGCTACAGAAAAAAAGAAAAACTCTACCTAATAGAGTCAATTCTATCTCAAACCCATTTATCTCAAAAATTTCTGTGTTTCATAAATTTTCTACCATAACAATCGAAATTCAATGTATTTTACATGGTTATCTTGAAAACCCTTTTTTTTTTCAAATCCTCTGTATCTCGAATTTTGGAGGAGTGTGGGGTGGATAAAATTTGATGTTACTTCAGCAACAAAAGTTGCTGATAAACAAAAATTCCATGGATATTCCATGAATATTAAAAGTAAATTCACAAGAGTAGAAGAATACCCTAAAGTAAAAGAATTCATAGAAAAAAAATCATAGAATTAAATGTCAAAATTTCTTACGAAGAAATTTTGCAAGTAGATGATTTCTTGGCCTCTTGCAGAAATCTTGATTAATGTGAAGTTCGCCGATAATGTGAAACAGAGGAATGCTTTACAATTGGGGCGTCGTGAATTGAGCCCGTGAAAAAATTATCTCAAATCCACGTTTTATAACATCGTATTCAAAAGAATCGAAAAACCACATGGATTTATTAAAAATCAGCATGAACAGACCGTTTTTCTCACATATATGTACATAATGTATATTTCGGAGTGAATAATCAGGATCAAACAGTAATAGGGACGTAGATTTTTTATCCTGATTTCAAATAGGGCTGCAATTTGTAGGATTGAAAATCAGGAATCAACCCTGAACCATACATTCTTCAGATTTTTTTTCTTTACTTTTTGTGCTATTTTTATTTGAAGTATATTTTGTATGGGTTAGATCTCCAATGATTGAAGTATATTTTGTATGTGTTGAAGTATATTGTGATATTTAGAGTACTATTTTTGACCTATGGAGCTACTAAGGTTGCTGTTTTTGAATGTTAACTTCAAAGGAGGACTTGTAATTATAATGATAATACTTAATGTTTTCCAGTTAGTTCTAAGCTATTAAATTTTTTTATGCTCATTTATTAAACAAATTAAATTTCGAGAATCATTAAAAGAAGTTCGACAAAAACTTTAGTTCTTATGTGAAATGCTCAGCACTTTTCAGGGAAAATATTAAAAATAACATGTTGCAAGGTAATAATACTTCCGAAGATCTTTTCAATTTTATATGAAAATTCGTTGCTCACCGTACAGAGATAATATTAAAGCAATATTATTAAAAAATTTATTGACTTAAAGAAAAAAAAAAAACGGTGTAGCTTTTTACAAAAACAAAAGTTGATTTGTATTTCTCACCTCATGAGCAAGTTTTTTATTTATTTATTTTTTTAATCTCGAGCTTTTGATTGGTTTAAGTATTAAAAAGCTTATGAAACTTGCGAATTGAAATAAAAATAAAGTGGATAAGAACATAGATATCAGAAAAAGTGAAAAAAAAAAGTAGGATTTATGAAGGGAAAAAAGAAAGAAACGTGTTTTTGTCTTCTACCGTACAAGTTTTCTATTCATGAGGTTATTAGTAAGGTATTTTTTTATGTTCATGAGTATTTTTGAGGTGTTTTTGTTGTGTATTATCTTTTTTTAGGGAGTTATATTTGTGTCTTTTTAAAAAAATCAAATGAATGTGATGAAAAAAAGCCTTAAAACACCTCTCCAATGGCAACACTAGTTTGATTTTAGGAAAATCATATAAATGCATATGTTTTTTTTAGCTTACCTTTAAAAACATATGTACTTCCATTTTGAGTGCGAGTCACAGTATCTATTGAGGCATCTTGGCATAAATCTGGAGCATCACTGGTATCAGGTGGAGGGCCGGAAGGTTCTTCATCAGGTGGTGGAACAGGCTTTTCTTTTGAACCTATAATATTGTTGGTTTAAATTTTCACAAAATGTTTAAAGAAAAAGAATAACAAATAATATTTTATGAAGTAAAAGGGAATACTGGTGATTTATTCACTAGTGATAACGATGATTTATTAATTCAGAATAGATTACCATTACTGATTTGCCTTTTTTTCTTCTAAAGATGTGTCTATAAAATCAACTTTTTCCCAACTTACTAAACATATCTAATTTTCTACTTCCTTCCGTCCCGCAGTGGACTGATCGTTAAGACGCGGTTCCCAGCAGATCACCGAAGTGGAGCATCATTGGCTACGGTCACTGAGCGGGTGGGTGACCACTTGGATCAGTCTGCGTGGGGACCGAGGGTGTGCGGTATGGGTCCTCGTTAAACTGTGCTACCGTAAAGTGCTCGACTTCGCCCGCAGGTCGTCGGGCTACCGAAGCAGGGGTGCCCTCCCCTCCGCAGAGGATCAAAATTGTGATGGCATGTCTTCGGATCATCCTCCGGGATGTTTCCCAGACCGTCGCCAATAGCCCGTTGTGCAGCTCTAGTGCGACGTAAATTAACAACAACAACAACTTCCTTCCTCGTATAAACTAACTTGTTAGATATAAAATCTTTTTCTGTATTTGATAGCATAAATTTATGATGAAAATTAAATCTAATCTGAGTTACAAAAGAATTTTTAATTCTTAAGTTAAGCTTTAAATAGAAAAAATTTGTTCTGTCTTTGCACTTATTTTTTTTATTTTCATATTTAAGCAAGCGCATGATAATTAATTCTAATTGTCCTCTCGACAATAAAGCTGGAGAAAAGTAAGTTTTGGAATTCGTTTTTCCCCCCCTAAAGCTGGGTTTCCACCGATCGCAACGGCAACGTAGATCAAAATCTGTTGCTGCGTTGCTTCCTATCTGTTGCCAAAGTTTTTCATACCGGTAATTGGCAACGACTCTGTTTCTTGTCTCGCGCATGCTCAGAAGACTTATCACGCGATACGGTTGCATCATCTCCTGTTTCATTTCATAATTCTTATTTTGTTTGAAAGCGCTAAAGTTCTATTTATTAAAATGGAAAGAGCAAATTTGAAAAAAGTTTATTTTTTAATATGCATTGTATATATTTTTTCATCTTATCTTAATTTTTTTTTTATTTTGTAAATTATATTACATATTTTAAACAGATTTTTTTATTATTAAACTAAACATTTACTTGAATGAAAGATTGTGTTTTGATCATATTATTAAAGATTTCAGCTAATACGAACCTTCTATTTCATTGTGATTTTTTTATAGGGTAATGAAGTTTTTATAAATCAGTTAGGTAAAAATTTTAAATGCTAGGAATAGAATGTAAGATATATGAACCTTTTTAATAATTCCATAATGGTAACAAATCATTACATAATTTAATATCTTTTTCTAAATATGATTCCATAAAGATAAGTGCAATAATTATTATTTTGAATGGAGAATTTACTTTATCTTTGATTTTTATTTACAAATTCGAAATCAGCTTATTGTCTTTCGCAATAGTTTTACAGATGAAATTATGTCTTATCATATACAGTTTAATTTTTGCTAGTACAGTGTTCGGTTCAACAATATCTGCAAGATAGTTCTTTCCACATTCTCTGGAGTGATCAGTTTCTCTTTCTTTTAACATAATGATATGCAGATTACATTTTCTACCATTTTTTTGGATTATCTGCTGCAAAACCATTGATGATATAACCAAATACTTGCATAATCAATACGATTTACTCTTCACATAATTAAATATTTTGCAGACGACAAAAAAACACAATTTATTTTCTTTGTGAATCGCTCAATTTTTTTAGTGCCAAAGCAGCTATTTAAATTTTAACTTAAAAAGTTAATTTAAATTTTAACTTACTCCTTTCAAAAAGACTGTCTCCTCAAATCCATCTTTGGGTCTTGTTAGACTGATATTTGATAATCCAATAATAAATGGATTTGAATAAAAACACTGTAGAAAAATTAGGTAAATAATTTTATGATTTTTTTCTTATTGCGTGAAAATAAAAGGAAAACACTGCTACAGTAATTAATAATTTGATTGTTAGAGAACCCATTCTACAGCAAAATAATCGTAATTGCTTAAATCAAAAAAATAGATGAGGTTATGCTTTGAAAGCCTGAGAACGAGAATTCCAATTGCTTAGAACACAAGTTTTAAAATATTCTGACACATTCCTTAAAAAAAATGTAGGTGAGCAAGCACACAATATTGTTTAAAGATCATGATAAATTTCAAATGCTTCTTCTATTTTACATTTTCATTAACTTATCGGATGAAACAAGTTAAAACAAATCTGATTTTAAATTTAAAGTAGTTTCAAAACACGATTTTTATTTCTTGCAATTAATTATCTGAAATTTATAAAGATATTGCATTAATATATGACTAATGAAGTTTCGATCACTTATAAAAATGCGAAAGCTGTCGAGCGTTCTACGCCCTCTTCATGAGAACGGACTCTTCAATTTTATGAAGGAGCTCTTCATTTTTATGAAACGAAGACTTGTCTTAAACGAATTAATTTCATTTCAGTTTTGAGTACGAAAAATTGTAAGAAAAATCTGTATCCATAAAAATTATAAATTTACTTCTTATTGTTAAAAGTAAAATCCTCAGTATTACGTTTCGTGTTTTAATGTAATAGCAAAAATTTTTAATGCATCACAAATATTTTTGATATGACCAACTCAAAGATGACAAGTTTTATACTTCTTGTATAATTTCAAATCGAGTTTAATTATGAAAAATTGTCATTTAGTTATTAAACTAATAAATAATTTAAAAAATAAGTGTACATAGCCCACCATAACATGGTTTTTGACAAAAATATTTTGCATTTTTCTGAATTTCAATAGGTACCTTCTTCCTGTAAGCTCTTCAGTTATAGACTGAGCTGGAGTAAACTAACCAGTGAAGGAACACTTAAGCTTCGCTTGCCTTTTAAAAAATCATATTAATTTCAAAATTCGTAATTTTAGTTAAATGACAGTGTCAACATATTTGTTACCAATTGCAAATTATGTAAAAAAATTGTAGAGAACTTACATAATATTGTTTCAAAGTTTTGGAGGTTCAAATAACAAGTAGTAAGAAGACCAAGTGAAGGAACAGCTCTTACCAGTGAATGAACACCCAGTAAAGGAACACTTAATTTTGGTTATTTTTTAATGCTCTTTATGAATTTATAAGCCATACAAATATTTAAAAACAAGCCTATTCTTGAAATTATAACATATAAATACTTGGAAAATGTTAACTTTTTTTTGTAATCATGAATTGAAAATTAAAGTGTCAACATATTAACACATACTGTTCATTCACTGGGAAATCTACGCCCAGTAAAGGAACATGCCTGTTCCCTCACTGGTTAGAAGTTGTTCTTCGTATTTTTGACACACTTTTGATGCGGAACATCATTAAAGGTACAAGAAAATTAAAGTTTATCTTTTATTTCAATTAACTTAGAAAAAAAAACCCAGTAAAGGAACACTTGCTCCTTCACTGGTTTTTCATCGTTTGGTGATCCAGTGAATAAACACCCCCTTATCTCAGTACTTTATTATGCTATGATGCTTAAAAAAAATTAAACGTAACTTCAGTAACTATATTTTGAATTCTTTTTCACACAGTGAGAAAAATAAAGCTATTACATGCAATTAATTCCATTTCAAACATATAAATACAAACACTCACCTTACAATTTTTTCAAAGAAACAAGGTGTTGCAGAGATAATAACAAATTCAAAAATTTTTCCAGAGAAGTCTATTTGACCAGGTAATCCAAAACATTGCTAGATGACTTCCTATTGTTTGGCAGTAAGCTATTGTTGCCAATCAATCTAAAGAAAAGCTTTCAAATTCTTATTTTTAATCGACATATATGAAATGTTCCTTCACTGGGTAGTGTTCCTTCACTGGTTGGTTTACCCTATTTAGTTTTGTATTTGCGTTGCATTGTTTAAGCAGATCTAATTTCAAATTAATTGAAATATATTCTAAAAGAACACATTTCAATAATTTAGGGTGATAGAAAGTGAGTTTACAATTTGAAAAATGTAGCAGTGTAGCGGCTCATATTCATAATATTTATTTTAGGTTTCGTTTTAATCTTTGTTTACATACTGTTAGAAATTGTATAGCTTTATTTTTTTTATCATTGGCAATAATGCAAAATTATTATGTGTTATAAAACGTCTTTAAATATAATATCGCACGTTCCTAAATCCGGTAGTAGTTTATACACATATATCTATAATTTTTACTAAACACTTTTAAATATTCCTTTTATTAAAAATTTACTTTAGATGAGTAATAAGCTTATAAAACCTGAAACTGCTTTTGAAAAAGAATGATCGTTATAATAGTAACACTTTTTGAAATATGGTTTTAAAATCGTATTATCGGATGCAAAAATGAGATTATTATTGAACGACAATTGGAGGTAGAAATTTCTAACTGAGGACTCACATCCAAAGTTGCTCATCCTTGCTCTTTATATCTTTGCTTTTTAGTTTTTAAAATGAAATCAAGCCATAAGATTTTAGTACATATAGAAAAAATACGTTAAGATACATATTAGGAAGATAAAAAGTCTTATACTTTGTTCAGATATAACTTATTAGATAACTTTATAAGGGTTTATTAAGAGTACATAAATAAATGTTCATGAATTGTAGTAATTTAAAGGATTGTTTAAAAAATCATAATTTGAAGAAGTATTTAATAAGCAATAAATTGTTAGATATTTATCTAATTCCAAAAATAAAATGATCGGACAAATAGTATTATTGAAACTAAAACGTTTCAATCGAGAATAATTTGAGAGAGTGGAATTAAAAGAGAAGAGGAATTATTAATTATATAAGTTAATTCCACCCAGATTACCTATTGCATGCAGATAACCTCACAGTTCTAAATAAAATCTTGATTTGGATTAACAAATAATGATTTTTCTTACCATATAATGCTTGGATTGCTTTTGTATCATCAATATTTAGCTTAAATGATGAATCATATCCTCTGTAATATGGAGCCATTAAAGCTTTCTTCTCATCCGAATGTGATAGACCAAGGGAATGTCCAAATTCGTGTGCTGCTACTTGGAACATGTTAGTACCTGTAAACAGGTTTTGAAAAAATCTTATTACACTGAATCATTCTATCAGTTTTTATCGAGCTACTTTTGTATTTTTTTTTTTTTTTTTGCCTGTGGAATAAAATTGAAAGAAAAAACGTTCCAAAATTGTAAAAAATAAAATTTCTCTTTAATTTTGTTCGTTATTATCATCAAAATGTTAGAAAGATAATTAAAAAAGAAAAAAATTAAACGAAATAAAAATTATACACAATATTTTCACATATATTGGACATGTTAATGGATTACAGTAATTTTTGTTCAAATTACATCAAAATAAATCAAATGACATAATTTCCAACATAAATATAATATACTAATACAACAATTTTGTTATTTATAGCAATTGTCATGAATTCATTTCCTTCTGATTCCTTTGAATTTCCAACTAATTTCAAGAATCCGACAAATGGCACGAAACTGCCGAACTTTTCGTGGAAAAATTTTCAATAAAAGTATCGCCATTTATTGAGAAAATGGCAAATAACATATTATGCATTGGACGAACTGAGTTCGGGCTTCACGGAATTGAAGCACTGATTTTTCTCTAGCCCGAACTCAGGTCGGGCATTCCGAAATTGGCGTATTTGCGTTGCGCGGACTTAGTTCGGGCGTCACATGCTAGGGATTAAAATTATAAGTTTATTAACTTGCATATCGATTACTAAATGCGCAAATGTTGTAAATGAAATTTATATTTTGCAATTGAAGTTTAATAAATGCAGCTGAGAAACAACCCAGCACACTTCTAACATCTAATTTTATGAACTAATTTCCAAACTGTTTTTTAAATGCTTGGGAAAAATATTTGTATAATGTCAGCAGAGTATAAATTACACTGGTCATTTATAAAAAAAAAAATTGATCTTGCCTTATTCGAGTGTGGGGATTTCAATTCTGAAATTAGTTTTCCTTCTAAAGCTACAGATTTTTTTAAAATGACATTTTCAGTTTATTATTTTTTTTGTCGAAACGTACATATTTAAAAACGTTATATGTAACTGAGTGTTGCGTAAATTTAGCGACAGACTTCTAGAAGAGTTAGGGCATATCATCAGGATTAAAATTGCGTGCATGAAAATGTCATTGTACTCGGCTAGGTGTGATTCCTATTATGACCCGTTCTAAAACACACAAGGAAATAGTTCTTAAAAGGAAACCACCCCTAGCGGCTTATGATGACATTTCCGGGCTTGGGTGCACTTTTGATCCTGATGATGTGCTCTAGCTCCCCGAAATGTTTTGTCAAATCATTTATGTGATCCCCTGTTATTTATGATGTTTTTAAACTTGAGCAATCCGTCAAAAAATTCACAGAAAATGTCATTTAAAAAAAAAATAAAAATAAACTGCCGCTTGGTATCAGAAACCGATTTCAAATTTGAAATCAGCGATTCCAAAGTATATAATATTCGTTAAAATAATCCCTTTCAGCAGAAAAAAAATATTACCCGTGTTTTTCAAAGTACTGCGGTATTTAATGTGAGTTTGTCATTTACAGCATTTGCACAAATTGCGCTAGATGCATTATTTCTAGTTGTTCTGATATTAAGAAAAATCACAACAAACAAATAGTTAGTTATTTAATTTAGTAGTATGAATTTGAAAATACACTATCTGACTAAAAGTATCCGAACACCCAGTGGTACGAAATCGAAGAGTCCTGAGACATTTATTAATATCATGTTGGTCCTCTTTTTACATCCATAACAAAGCCTGTATAAGTCTGGGGAGTTCGGTGGCTATAGAAACTAACTTTCAAGTGTCCATCACAGCTGAAGTGAGCAATGGTAGTGAGAATGGTCAATTTAACTGGCTACGTAATCTGCTTTCTAATAGAAAACTACTCAAATTTTATTTTGTGACGTAGCTAAGTTAACTGTTGACCGATCATAAACCTAATGCGTAAAATGTCCTCATTAAGACCTTTTTTTTTGCTCTGAATATAAACAAAAGCCTGCTCTGAAGTGCCTTTCTCTAATGTATACAAAATAAATCTTGTTACGTAATAGAACCGGCTGAACCTTTTGCCTTGCTTCGGAGATTCCCTTACTTATGAGGCACACATAAACAATCAAACCAAAAGTTAAGAATATCCACCCCGTTCGCATCGTGTATTCATTCCAAAGGTGCTGTATGGATCTTAAAAGGCTGATCCTACTTTTGAACATCTATTTCCGTCAAACTATGGCTTTGATGTTATGATGACAGAGCAGTTATATTGCTGGAAGAAAAATGGGGTTTCTACGAAATATTACCATAGAGTTTGAACATTGCTCATAAAGTTCACATACATCTCAGAGTTCACGTTTCCAAAACCAGGAACTTAGGGACCCGGGTCAAATTATGAAAAACACTCCCACGCCATGATGTTTTTGTTGTGTGTCCGGTCCGAATACCTTTGGCTAGATAATATATATNTATATATATATATATATATATATATATGTATTGAGAATTCATATTTTAATAAGTCATCAGCAATTAGCAATCAGCAGCTGTTACACTTAATATAATGTAAATTCCGTATTATAATTCTGTTTTGCAATGACATATTTTTATGGGGGTAATATTTATATATTTAAGGGTTCTGATTGCTGCTTACACAAATGAAAAATGAATAAAATGCTTAACTCTTATCACTAAATTATTTTAGTTAATATTTTTGATTCTACATATGAATATACTTGTTAACTGTGAGAATTATTATAAAAACTGACAAATTTGATTTGAATTTAAAATTTTTAGTTCCGATTCTTTACTTGTAACGATATTAAATTAAGATATTAAATTAAAAACTATTTGCAATGTGGTTAAATCTGACGAGAATAGACAGATTAATCACCTTTTTTGCAAATCATATCAAGATGCGTCCGTCTGCCAAATGTAAATGTCTACCAAAAATCTAATTTTATCAGTATTATTTTCTGATTTTCCACAATTATAGATAAAAAATATATTGAATTTATAAAAACGAAGCATTTAATTTTCAAAAGTCATACCGGATCTTTCATCAATTGTCCATTTTTCTTCATCATCAAAATGGGCATCTCCACCAAATTGTGGAAAAAAAGCATGGGCTAATGTCTTTCCCGGGCCATCAAAAGGATCTCCATCTCCATGTTCTTTTTCTTCGAAACGAATATCAATATTGACACGACCCCGTTTTCTTTCCTCAAATGAAAGTGTTGTAACATCTCCCCATATCTTAAAATATTAAAAACAATCCAAGTTGAATAACATTCTTCTTGAAGTATGTGTTCAAGATACAGATGGTAAATAATTTAAAAGTATACAAATATATTAATACAAAATATATCATCTAATCATATAATAGATAAAGCCACTTTTATCAAAAGTTATATTTTTTTTTAGTTTTTAACAGGTACATTACAAGTTGTTATTTTAAGCTTTTATTCAACTTCCCTGAAAAGCTCCTTCCAACTTAATATTCCGTTTTAACGACTTGTGAGGATAGTTGTTATCGACAATGTCAATCTTCATCGATGTAGAGGGTACACCAACATAGAATCGAGTTAACATTTCTTATATACTAGTGATTTGGAATTGTATTTTTGTAGTGGTAGACACACTACAGTACTCCCCCACCAGAATTATATCTGTGCTATAAGAATTATATATGTGTATAGAATTAGATATGTGTATAGNTAAAAGAGAAAATAGTATATATTTACTACCACTTTAAATATGAAAATAAAATCTCCCGCAAAATGCGGGAGAGTTGGCAGGTATGGGATAGTTGTTATCGACAATGTCAATCTTCATCGATGTAGAGGTACACCAACACAGAATCGAGTTAACATTTCTTATATACTAGTGATTTGGAATTGTATTTTTGTAGTGGTAGACACACTATAGTACTCCCCCACCAGAATTATATCTGTGCGAGAATCCGATGAATGTGGGGAGAGTAGATATCGACAATGCCAACCTTCATCTATGAAAAGGTACTCCACCACAGAATCGAGTTAACATGTCTTATATACTAGGGAATTGGAATTATATTTTTGTAGTGGTAAATACACTACAGTTTTTAACAGTTTAGTAATTTTTTTTCAAATACTACAGAATGAGATAAAAAAGAAATAGGTTTTCCTCGTCTTCATTAGTGTCCAGATATGCATTGTAATTTTTGATCCTTTAAAAAAAAATTAAATTCTTAAACAAATTAATACCGCATTAGATTGCTTAAATTTAATTACCCTTTGTTTTGTTGTTTAGTTGTTTGTATTGCAATTATTTCATTAACAAGTTTGAAATTAAGATCACAAAATCAGTTAAATATTAAAAAAAAAAAAGTTTTCTTTTCTAAATGTATACGTTAATAGTAGAATAATTCGCCACAAATAAACCTTTTCTATATTCGAGTTTTTATCGTGCGATAAATTTTAGCAGAGAAATCAGTTACTATAAGAGATAACTGTAAATGTTCTTATGGATATCTTTTTAGATTACTATTATTTTTTATTTTAAATTTTAGAATCAATCAAGCAATTAATTTCTTTTGCTTCTTTGCTCTTTTTTCCTTATCATTATTCCAGAAGCATATAATTAAATGAATTTTTATACCGGTTTTTATAATTGTAATATATAAAACAGTTCAGTTTACCTTAAAGGCTCTTGCTATTTCTTTATCAACTTTGAGTTTATCTTTTAGCCTGGTCGGGTATTTGGAAATTCGATATGTAAGTTGTGATACTCTCCATTTGCTACCTAGAATTTTTAGAAGGAAAAACAATATTAATACAAAAGAAAAAAAATTAAAATTAACTACTGATTTTACTGTATAAAACAATGGTTTAGTTAAGAATGAGTTTGAATCTATTTATGAAACTTTCATAAAAATCAGATCTTTAAAAGACTTTCTTAACCAATAATTTTAATCCAAGATTTCTTAAAAACTTCGGATCCAAATTTAAACAAAAATGGAAATTTCCACGTGGAGATAGCTGATCTACTTGTAAATCAAAACTGTTTAAAACTGTAAAAATATTAATATTCCTGTATTAATAAGATATTTTTGTTCTATGTGATAATAATGTCCATCTCTTCAAGATTCATCTCCCCCTAGAAGTTAATAACAATAATTTGGTAAGTCATAATACAATTTATAACAATGAAAGCAAAAATTTATACTTCAAGCTCTCGTTGTTCTTTGAATTTATCATTATCTTGCTGAGTGGGAAATGATTAATTTTTATTAGCAACTTTTCCTTCCTATTTCACTTATTTTCATCACTTATATTCATATTATTTCCTTCATATTTACAAAGCATTTTTATTGTCATTAAATTGTTTAAAATTATTTTAAATATATATTTATTAAAGCTGTTATAAAAAAGCAAATACCTTATGCATTTGCAATTACCTATATTCTTTGACAAGATAATATCAGTCTCAAGGTTAAGCGAATTTTTCACTTTCCACATTGTCCCCAATCCGTTATCATGGTTTCGGCAAAACTATTAATATTTTGCGTTTTGTTTAGAATTTGGGATAGGATAGCGTGGGAAAAAGTTAGATTTGCCAAAATTATAGCAACGGAGAGGGGAAACATGAGAAGAGTGGAGAAATCGTGTTACCTTGAGACGCCTATTCCAATTAAAAATAGTATAATTATTCAGTACAAGACATTAAAAGAAACACTAGAGATGAAAGAATTCGAATACGGCAAATTATTTGTTTCAAACAGGCAAGGAAGTTACTCGTATCTTGAAGCAACCGAAAATTCATCTTTTTCTCTTGGCATGTTAAATTTCAGCTTGAGTGCCTAGTGGCACTTAAAGTAATTTAGTTGAAAGTGGAATCGTTATGATAATATTTTACCATAAACTCTTCCGCGTCAAATTTAAATAAGTTATTATTCGATCTATGCATTTTATTGCCGGTAGTGGATTCGCAACTTTGATTTTCACAAAACTTCTTCAAACATTGATTTACTTTGACGTGAAACTATTTCACTGCTTCATCACTGATTGTGCAGTGAAAACAATTTTACAACTTTTTTTTTCAATTACAGTATTTTTGAACTTAAATACTGTTTTGTTTATTTTCATTTACTTGAAAATGAAAACTTGTGTAATTACATTTTTGGAAAATTTTTATTTCGGTATATGAGAACATGGATTTGATTTAAGGCGAGAATTTTTCCTTAATTTATTTGAACAAGTCTTAGACAAACTAACCGGTTTACAGTCGTAGAATCAGAGGAATATTTGAGAGATATTATATATCCTATAATGTTCAAAGTTGCTTTTCTTAAGTTTACTGAAATATGTTCGTTATTATAGATTCTAAGAATAAACATTTGACACAAATGTCGTAATTTAATATGCTGAAAAATTGGAAGGAAAAAATGGCACCATGTTTTCAGGTACAATCAATTTATTTTAACTTTACTTTTACTTTCTGTTCAATGAAGATCTGAAAATGTATTGGCATTGAATTTTCCAACACTTTTTTTTATTATTTTTCTTGAAAACAGAATTTAATGTATAATTTTAATCCTATAAATTTAAGGTAGGCAATGTCTTTGTTATGCAAAACATGATACGTGAAGAAATTACTCAAACTATAAGTAACAGAAATTTATCATCGATAATTTGATTGATTCATCTCCGTGTCCATAACCATAAACAACCATAAACTTTTCTCGCCTTAATTTCGATATTAACACGTTAAGCGCCGCGTCAGCCTTCGGTGGCTGACACTGGGCTTTCCATTTAGGCCACGTCAACCACCGGTGGCTGACACTGAAATTACATTTAGGCCGTGTCAACCACCGGTGGTTGACACTGAAATTACATTTAGGCAGCGTCAATAAACGGTGATTGACACTGAAATTACATTTAGGCTGCGTCAGCCACCGGTGGCTGACACTGAAATTACATTTAGGCTGCGTCTGACACCGCTTGCTGACACTGACCTTTCACATAGGCTGCGAAAAACAGCTGGCTGACAGCGTATAACATGATATAGAACTATAAAATTTACACTCTTTTATGGAGTTGCAGAAGATTTTTCAAAATTTACTTAATTATTGTGATTCTTGGTTTAATAAATTCAATTTAGTAGATTTTTATCCCGCACAATTTTTAGACAATTCGTAGGCATATATAATTCACCCCTTTTTTCAGATATGTCATTCTAAATCTTTTATAAACTAGCAAAATCTGTCTATGTTTGCAAATTTAGTTTGTAGTTATTTACCGTGTGGCCAGACGAGCAAGTCATGTAAAATTAGCGTGGTATTCAACGTGTTAAGGAGACTCTAACCAAGATTTATCTACAACCGAGGATAATTTATGTTTGAATCCACAAATCAGCTATTTCTCAGGTTTGGATCTCAATCACATACGTCAGATGTAGTAACTGTATTAGTATAAGTACACCGAGAATAAAAATGTGAACAAAACTACCAAACTTAGGTAAATTTATAGTGTTTCTGGTTATATGGGAACACCAGAAAGCTCGGTAATTTTTGCCGAAGCCCTTTGGTAATGATTTTGATAAAATTAACAATAAAATATAGTTTAATAATATAAGATAAAATTTGGTAATTTTATCATACTACCAGGTTTATTTCTCCGTGNCCGGTAGTGGATTCGCAACTTTGATTTTCACAAAACTTCTTCAAACATTGATTTACTTTGACGTGAAACTATTTCACTGCTTCATCACTGATTGTGCAGTGAAAACAATTTTACAACTTTTTTTTTCCAATTGTAGTATTTTTGAGCTTAAATACTGTTTTGTTTATTTTCAGTTACTTGAAAATGAAAACTTGTGCAATCACATTTTTGGAAAATTTTAATTTCGGTATATGAGAACATGGTTTTGATTTAAGGCGATAATGTATCCTTAATTTATTTGGACAAGTCTTAGACAAACCAACCGGTTTACAGTCGTAGAATCAGAGGAATATTTGAAAGATATTATGTGTCCTATAATGTTCAAAGTTGCTTTTCTTAAGTTTACTGAAATATGTTCGTTGTTATAGATTCAAAGAATAAACATTTGACACAAATGTCGCAATTTAATGTGCTGAAAAATTGGAAGGGAAAAATGGTACCATGTTTTAGGGTACAATCAATTTATTTTAACTTTGCTTTTACTTTCTGTTTAATGAAAATCTGAAAATTTATTGGTATTGAAGATACCAGTGCTTTTTTTGCTTGTTTTCTTTTAAAACAGAATTTAATGTTTAATTTTAATCCTAAGAACTTCAGGAACTTTTGAAAGACGAGAAAATCATCTCATTACTCATCTCCCTGCTCCCAGCCCTAAAGACGAGGATGAGGAGCCTCAACATCAAGCCTGCTACATCTTTCATGATGCCTTTCATTATTTTATCGCATTTCAGGTTCTTTTCCGAACCACCAATGCAACTTTCCTATGTATGTCCTTTTGGGATATTTCATGATGAATGGGATAAGGGCCATTTCGGCCATGATGAATGGGATAAGGGCCAGTTCTAAAACAACGAACGAACGAATAATTTTAATCCTATAAATTTAAGGTAGGCAATGTCTTTGTTATGCAAAACATGGTAAGGGAAGAAATTACTTAAACTATAAGTAACAGAAATTTATCCTCAACAGCTTGACTGATTCATCTCCGTAAAGTATTATTGAACCAAATTTAGGAGTCTAGTGTTAGAAATTAGGTAACATACTCATCTATGTTGAAAGTTTTATTAATTTAACTATACCGCTTTGCGTTCCATACATTCACTATTGCAGACAACCATAAACTTTTATCGCCTTAATTTCGATGTTAACACGTTGAGCGCCGCGTCAGCCATCGGTGGTTGACACTAAAATTACATTCAGGCCGCGTCAACCACTGGTGGCAGACATTGAAATAACATTTAGGTTACGTCAACCACCGGTGGCTGACACTGAAATTACATTTAGGCTGCGTCAACCACCGGTGGCTGACACTGAAATTACATTTAGGCCACGTCAACCACCGGTGGATGACACTGAAATTACATTTAGGCTGCGTCTGCCACCGCTTACTGACACTAATCTTTCACATAGGTCGTGAAAAACAGCTGGCTGACAGAGTATAACATGATATAGAACTATAAAATTTACACTCTCTTATGGAATTGCGGAAAATTTATTCAAAATTTACTTAATTATTGTGATACTTGGTTTAATAAATTCAATTTAGTAGATTTTTATCCACCACAATTTTTAAACAATTCGTAGGCATATATAATTCACTACTTTTTTCAGATATGTCATGCTAAACCTTTTATAAACTAGCAAAATCTGTCTATGTTTGCAAATTTAGTTTGTAGTTATTTACCGTGTGGCCAGGCGAGCAAGCCATGCAAAATTAGCGTGGCTTTTAACGTGTTAAGGAGACTCTAACCAAGATTTATTTACAACCGAGGATAATTTATATTAGAATTACACCGAAGCAGTATAAATATCTTTCAGCCATTTCTCAGGTTTGGATCTCAATCACATACGTCAGATGTAGTAACTGTATTGGTATAAGTACACCTAGAAAAAAAATATGAACAAAACTACCCGACTTAGGTAAATTTATAGTGTTTCTGGCTGTATGGGAACACCAAAAAGCTCGGTAATTTTTGCCGAAGCCCTTTGGTAATGATTTTGATAAAATTAACAATAAAATATAGTTTAATAATATAAGATAAAATTTGGTAATTTTATCATACTACCAGGTTTATTTCTCCGAGTACAAAATAATTTTACAGCTTGGCCATTTCATTGAGCCAAAAGGTATACTGCCTTTATTCGCTTGGTTTTTTTTTCTTCGTATTTTCTTCTCCATATCTCGTAAACATGTTCTTTCGTTATCTGAAAAGCTATACTTTATAACATGTTTTATCATATTCCTGATGTTTATAAATTTAAAAATCTAAATCTTTGATCGATTTATTTAAAAGAGGCTTTGTATTAGTTAAAAAGTTATTTTTATGAATATAGTGTCCTCTGCATATTTTTATGAAAATAATTAATAAATTATAATTTAATGAATTTTCATAATGCATATCATATCAACATTCTGAAAAGGTATCATATTATTGAACTTATATTATCAGCTAGATCAAACTGAAATTCTTCTAAAACCTAATATAACTCTATAAGTTCTTTTTAAAATCTGCAAAGATGGATTAAAACTAATTCAAAATACTTTACATGAGAACGACTTGATACTAAATTACTAGTAAAAGTATTCTCAAAAAATATATTTTAAAAATGATAATCGAATAGGGATTTTTTTATTATTTGCTAATTATTCTTGTACAATTTATTTAATCATCCTTTAGATTAATGGTTTTTTAGTTGTTTAATATTATTTCTTATCATCAAACGGTGAAGATTTCCACCGGAAGAAACTGACGTAGTGTAGCTTCCTGCCATCTTTAATAAAAGTGTAAAAACGATGCTAAGAAAAGATTTTGAAACAGCTCTTCCTTGTCTTACGATAAAAATTCATAACTTGAAGCAATTATAAAATATATTTGTAGCAATGTTGTTTTAAAATTAATATTTTAAAAAGAAATGAAAAAACGTTAAATATTTATAAAAAGCTAATTTATATGGTATATAAAAGTTTGAAGAATAAAAATATTTAAAATTTAACAATATATCAAAGTTTAAAGTAATTACTTTAGTTAGTTAAGTTTAACATTCAAAGGTTTAGTTCAAATTTTTTTGTTTTATATAGTTTGGTAATAGAGCGTAATAGGCAATATTTGAAAAAATCTAGTCTAGCTTGAATAAAAAATATGTTGGAAATCTAAAGTTGATTTTCTGATGATCTTTTAAAGGACCTGAAAAATAAGCTATTTTTTTAATTTCATCGTTTTCTGCTCAAACGGATAGAAAATATGCCTGTTTAGGAAACAAGAGGAAAATATATATTTTCTTCAAAAAACGGTAAGAATTTTCATTCTAAAATTGTGGTGAAGTAACCAGCAACAGTCTGCCCATCCAAGTAACTGTAAAGTTCACGATAAATTTTTTTTTACTATTACGGTTTTGGTTTACTATTACTATTACGGTACGGTTACGGTTACCGTTTACAACTAGTATGGTTTAAAAAAATGGATACAAAACTATATGTTTTTTTAACCATTTACAACTAGTATGGCTTCAAAACCGAAAAATAACTATCCGAGCATTGGAGATAGTTAAGCAGTTTTATGGTGCTGCCATCTATAAGTGAATGAGTGTATCGTATTCTAATATAGTCCATGGTCCCAAATAGGGGAATGCAGGACAATTAAAACTCTTCACACGTTGAAAGGAATAGAAGGAATATTGTGGTGTCAACGCTTAAACCCTCGATCTGTCGGTCATGAAATTGACATATTAGTCCTCTCTGCTGTATGTACCGATTTGCAAGGAACTAAGTGGCATCATTAGGTGAGCCTAGTTATAGTGTGATAAAATTCTGGTTGTTGAACTGTATTAGATGAAAACAGTTAATAAATAGTTTTTTTTCACAGTCAGCAGTTTGAATATCATTTTATTTATGGTTATTGGACTGTTTTGTTTGAATATGGTAAAATATCAATTAAATAGATTGTTGCTTGACCCTTTTTTCAGAGAGATTTCCAGTAGTGTAAGACATAGATAAGTAAGAACAGACTCTCTGCCTGAAAAGGATTGATTTTTCTAAGCAGGACATATATATATATCCTCCTTTATATTAGTAAGATAAATTCGATGTACCAGAATTCTTTTATACGATGTATTGTTTTATGCGTCTTTTTATCAAAGCAAAGTTACATGGAACAAAAATCAGCCTGAATATATTATTCAGCTCAGTATTTTTGTCGAAATTTTTTTGAATTTTAAATTTATCTAAGAAATATTTTTGTTTATAAGTTTCAATGTACGAAATTGTAAAATAAGCAATTGGTAAAGAAACTGAGTTAAATAAGCGTGTGCGTCATAAAATAAATTTTAATGCAGTTTTTTAAGTTTTAATATATTTGTTAACAATTTAAATACCCAATAAATTTTGTTGAATTTTTTTCGATATTTTTATCAAGAATTAAGAATCGGAAAAAATTAAAAAATTGAGGGAATTTAACTTTTCTAAACTATACTGTAAGTACTGGTATCTAGAAAGTACTCGATTCCTGAGATACCGTAAAATCCATTTGGACGTAAAATACATTTTTACCGTAAAATTTTATACCATAATTCTTACAGTAATATTTACTTATTTACAGGGATTCAGTAAATATCACTGTGAAATTAAGGTATATCATATTTTTTGCTCAGTGAAATTTTGCGTTAAAATTTTTAAACGTAATTTGATGCGGAATTTTCTTACTGTGTAATCTCGATATCTTTGGAAAAATGTGAGTTAGATTAATAAAACAAAATATAAATGTGGCAAAAACAAAAAAAAAATATATAGGTAAAAGTTGAACAAAGTTTAGATTTTATTATGATATTTTTAATGCTATTCTTATTTGATAAATTATTTTATACACTGCCATCGTATTCCTTAGGTATTTCACTATAAAAATATTATGTGATAAATGAAACTATTAATTAGAGAATAAATCATAAAATTTATTCTCTACGCTGGGAATTGCTTTTTTCATATTAAAAGAAAACACACGAATTTCGCATTCTTAATACGATGTCTTTAAATTTATGAATTGTATTTTAATTAACTTAAATCATTAATATTTTCAAAGCAATTGTAAGAGTATAAAGGAGAAAATGCTTAATTTTAGGTCTTGAAATAATGAAGTAGATTTTGGAATAAGTGTGGAAATTTAAAAAAATTTCCAAAACAAGAATTTCTGTCTATTATATTTAAAGTGTATTTTACGAGTTAAAAATTCGGAAAAATATCACAAATTTTTGTTCCTTATCCTACAGTTATTTTTTAGTTTCAAGAGTAGTAAAAAAATCCTAATCATAAATATTTTGGAAAAAAAAATTATTGTTAAATGTTTAAAGTGGCTGAATACCTTGTAAAGCATATCGTTTTCTTCTGGCAGTATCAGAATGACCAATTCTATCTTTAACTCCACATCGTGGTGTGTTCATCATTTCCACAGTTTCATTATCCAAAACACCTGGAAAAAAGATTTTGATTGTTTTTAAGTTGAACATGATTTTTATTAGAAATAAATTCTAAACTTTAATAATGTATTCATTTTTGATTATTTGTTACAAAATACTCTTAATTTTATTTATATAAATTTCATTCATTTATTCCTTATAATTATTTTAATATTCTAATGCTCTAGTACAAAATATATTGTAAGGTTGTTGCCACAAAAATAGGGCACTGCGAGTAGTTAAAAGATACGAAATATTGTGTAATGTTCGGAATTGTATAATGTGCGGAAAATTGTATATACAAGCCTCCTTATAATCGGCAAATTTTTACATAGTATTTATTTTTCAGTCATATGTCATCTAGATGAACTTATCTTTACGATTTTTTCTGCAACTTTTTCAATCTTAAGAATCTGAGACATGGTGGCTCAGAGGAGGGAGTGTTCGCCTTCCAATGAGAACAGGTAGTTTTTGGACTGAGTTTTTATTTATTATTTTTTCTGTTCATTGCACAATGTTTAATTTTATTTAATTTATTAAAAGCAAAATATTATTGACATATTGATAAATTAAATGTCGTGAAATGTAAAATGTACCGTGTTCGAATTGGTAAAACGTTCGAATCATAAGAGAATTAAGTATTAAAATTTTTTGAAAATATTTACACGGTAATAAAATTAACTTTGTTTAGAGAAAAATAATTTTTAGTCAGTTTCTTTAAAGTAACGCATATCATGTGACTGCTTTTAGCAAGCTAAAGTAAATTTGTTTTTTAGATTGCAAATTTCTTTCGTGAATATCTAAACGAATAGTTACTGAACACACAATATGCTGTGTGTTGCCGTGACTGCACTAAATACATTTGTATATTTCGCAGAAATATGAACAATGAACGGCATATGTTAACCCAGACTTGAATAAACAATGAAACACCACAGAAAATCCGAAATGAAATCATGAGCAGGAAAAGAGCGGATTGCACAGATACAAAGACAGAAAAAATGCATCCCGCGGCTACACAAAAAACTAAAAAACTTCAAGTCACCAGGTCGAGACTCAATTCCATCAGAATTCATAAAAACATTTTAAACCTAACACTCTGAATGTACTAGCTCTAAATTGATTTTTTTAAATATGGAAGCATTACTATAGATGAATGGTAGCTCAGCACCTCGTGCTTTATACACTGTTAAAGTCGATGTTCTGCAATGTTCGAACTACAGGGAGATTACCTTACTTTTCATAGATAACAAAATGTGCTCTTATATTCTTTTCAACAAATTGGCTGCTTATGCAGCTTATAGACTACCAATCTGGTTTTCGCCGATACGGGTCTATTATTCAACAACTATTCAACATTATATAAATAATGGAAAAAAACACAAGAATTCCGAATCGATACTCATTACCTACTTTTTGACATAAAAACAGCTTATGACGCAGTAAATAGGAAACAACTTATTTATGCTATGAGGAAATTCAACATCCCTGAAAAGAGTGTTACACTAGTTTCCTTAACGTTAACACGGACTTAAGTTAAAGTCCAAAACAATTTATCAGAACCTGTAACCATCACATATAGGCTGAGACAAGGCAATGCTCTCGTTCGCCTTCTCTTTAATCTAGCATTGGAAAAAATTAATAGAGATGCAAACATGAAGTAGTTTTGGGTTGGGTTCGAAATTACAAGGCTGCGGAGTTGAACATTGCTAGTCGTAAACTCAAGATTGGGTAGGCTGTTCATCACTGGTTATTAAATATAAAATAAAAATTCGTACAAAATACTTGTTTATACAGATGCTATAAATTTGCTATAAATTTGAAGTTTTGGAAAAATTTACATATCTGGGTTTTGAAATGAACATACAGAATATAAGAACTTTAGCAAAATAATTTTCACCAACCGATGCTTCTTTGGTTTAAAGAAATATTTAAGGTCAAACTTCATCACAAGAATTACCCTAGATAACAATATAAAAAAGCTTAATTCGATCTATTTCATTTCATATAGCTGGAACTAGGACATTGTAAAGAAAAGTTAAAGAAACCCTATCTAATTTGAGAAAAAAATTTTAAGAAGTATTTTTGGAGGTGCTCAAGTTAATGGAATTTGAAGAAAAACATGTATAGAATTATACATAATTTACAAAACCCAAGAAATAATAAATTTTTTAAACATCTAAAAGCTAAGATGGGATGGACATATAATTAGAGCTAATGACTACGAAAGAAAAGTATTTAAGTCAGTATTAAAAAAGTATTCAAAATAATTTTTTTTTAAATTAAGAAAACCAAAGACATAATTAATTTCATTAACACCTAAAAGCTAAGATGGTCTGGACTTTTAATTAGGGCTAGTGACAGTAGGACTACTAAAAAAGTATTTAGGACCACACCAAAAGGTACTCGAAAGATAGGACAGCCCAAACTTGGTATTTGAACTGCCTTAATAGTGATCTAGAAACATTAAAAATAACAGGATGGAAAGACAATGCCAAAGATACTTCACGTGGTATCAAATTCTGAAGAAGGCCAGAGCCCATTGTGGGTTGTCGCACCACTGAGGAAGGATGAGGAAGAGGGGCTAATGCTCAATGGATTAGTTTAGAGCTTATAATTTAAATTTCATTTTTTGCGTATTTTGCAAGAGGAAGTAGCGTACTCAACCATGCATGCAGACTTGCCCAACAACCGGTTCACAAGTGACGTACAGTGCGCAAAATAAGAAACGGTCCACCCAGAATAACTTCTGATCTAATTATTGGATCTTTACGTTCTAGGGCTCATTCTTGATGGTTCAAAGGGAGAACCTCAAATATGCTAATTAATTAGCGCAGACGATATCTTAAGTTACGAAATCAGACAAAAAACGAACTTTCCCTGAATAAACATACCTTTTAATCAATGGATTCAGATTTCTGACAGCCAAAATATAGAGGGTAGCCGCAATCTGTGTTATATGGTCCCAATAGTTTCGCCAGAAAAGCTGTCCAAGGTTTGGATCCCTTAATGTTAATTTAACTTTTTGCGTATTTCGCTATATCTCACACACAATTACAAAATATTGCACACAATTATACCATCTTGCACACAATTATACTGTCTTGCACTCGATTATACTATCTTTCACACAATTATAAAATTCGTTTATCCAGAGATAATTCCACGCGGAAAATAATTTTCAGTAAATATTTACCATTTTTTTAAATTTTACTTAATATTAGTCAAAACTTTTTTTGAATTATAGAGGCATTTGATTTTTTACATCGTTTTAAAAAATATAATTTTACCTGGCAAAATACGAAATTTGAGTGAAATCGGTCGAATAGTACCCGAGAAATCAAATTTCAAAAAAGTCGTATTTTAAAAAATCTATTTTTCGGGAGCTATTTCACTAATTTCATTCAAACTTTGTAATTTATCATGTAAAATTATAATCCTCAAAATGACGTAAAAAATTGTATACCTTAGAATTCAATTTTTTTTCGAATAATATTTAATGGAATAATAAAATATAAAGTAAAGTTAACATTAGGGGGTCCAAATTTTGGAGCACTCTCCTGACCAAACTATTGCGAACACATTTTTCAGATTGCGACTATCCCCTATATTTTGGGGGTCAGAAATCGTAATCCGTTGAAAAAAATATATGTTTATTCAGAGAAAATACACTTTTGAGTCTGATTTCGTAACTTAAAATATCTTCTGCGCTAAGTAATTTGCATATTTGAGGTCAGCCTCTCGATCCATTAAGATTAAGTTCTAGAATGTCAAGATCCGATTATTAGATAAAAAGTTATTCAGGGTGATCCGTTAATTTTTTTAATTACTGTATCTTCTCACTGTCACCTGGCTTCTTATGCTCATGAGCTGGATCTTAGCTCAGATGACGCTCTTCTAAATCTGAGTAAGTTGTTTTTCTGGTATAGCGTACAGCACCGAGCAGTTCCCCGTGTTAGTTACGTATTCGAGAAGCTGGACTTATTTTCTTTTCTATATTCTTTGACCCAGGTTTGAATTCCTGCAATGGCTGGTCATTACGATTTCTGCCGCGGCTTCAGCCGACCTCAGTAAACTTCTTGTAAAAACTTCTCCGTGGTGTACGGATCATGAGTTTGCGGTCAGGTCAATATTTCTCCCCATGCAACGCTTGCAAATGTGGAAAAGTTTATGTGTATATATATATATATATATATATATAGTCGGACTTC